GTTAATATGTTTTAGATGGAAAAACAATTTATTGCAAGTTGAAGAGGGCAAATCAAACAAAGAGATGGGCTGAAGTACTAAAAAGTTATTTAAGCACTCACAATTTAATAATGAATATGACATTAAACGGAACAGTCGAAAAATGGTGAAATAAGGTCCCATATTAGGGGTGAGCATAATTCGGTTAAAACCGAAAACTAAACCGAGTTTTTGATTTTGGTTTAATTGCTTTTTCGGTCAGGTTCAATTTTATTATTTGGTTATCTGTATTTCGGTTTCGGTTATCATAATTGATAAATCGGCTAACCGAAAAAAACCGATTTAATTTTACTCGCTGATAAGATTAGGGGGCATTTGCATCATTTGAATCTATCATTTACTCAAGGATTCTGAATTCCAATAGCACTGCCAATCTCAATGATAACATCACTCAACAACCTCCCCTAGAAAGCTTCTCAAAACAAAACAAACCCATTCAATGTGGGTCCCACTTGATCCTACACATTACGCCTTCATAAATGATAAACCCCCTCCTCAATCAGTTCGTCACTTCATCTTCTTCTCTCCTCTTGCTCCTTTCTCCCCTACAAACGATAGGAACCAACCGCCCATCTTGGAACCGCCTCATGCCTCCCGGAACTGATCTCCGACACGTTGCAGTGTCAACCCCTTAAGGTTTCCTTGTCCTGTTGAGTATCAATTGCCGAGTGCCATGGCTATGGGCTACGGGTTGTCGACTGTCGCTGCGTCTTCTTTGCCTCTATCAGCTATCGGCAACCGCTGAGGGCTTCTTCTTCTTCTTCTTCTTCTCTGTTTTTGATAGAACACAAAAGGCTTGACTTAATTTCGGTTTTACCCAAAATATTCAAAATAGCCGAAAATTTCCGGTTCAGTTTAATCGATTTTGGTTTGGTTTGCCATCTTGTTAAATCGGTTTTGAAAATTTTGGTTCAGTTTTGAACCGAAAAAAAAAAAAAAAAAAAAAAAAAAAAACAGATGCTCACCACTATAGTTGGGACAAGGGTTAGAATATGGAGATAATGATCTTGGCAAGTTATATGAACTGCTAAATAAAGACCCTAAACATTGGCACACCTACTTTGCTTAGATTTTTAGTTGATATCGTTACATCATTTTAAGTCTATATTGGTAGTTAATCTTGGCACATGGCCCAAATCAATCATCTGGTCTTGCAACTCATTTGGATAGTCTAGGGTGGTGTTTGGTGTCATTGATGTTTTCTCAGATATACAACAACCACACATTTTTTTAGTAAATACGTAATTCATTAAAGCATAGAGAAAAAAGAGAGAACAACAACCGAGGAACACAAACATCAAAAAAATAGAAGAACCATGAAATAAAGAGAAAAAAAAATGAACAAAAACAAAAACTAACTACAACCTACTAAGTCTTTCTTTAAAACATTAGTAAGACAAAAAGGGAACATTAAGACCAGATTTTGCAGCAACATTGTTCACTTTCCTTGGACAAAATTGAACCTTAAACTGTCTTCTAGTAACAACTTCTCTGATAGCTTGGCAGATAAAGAAGATTTATGGCATCACCTCTTCATTTAGGTTGTTAATAGCTCGCACTAAACCTACACTATCAAATTCAAAAAGAGCTTCAATAAGGTCCATTTGATCACCTCCCATAATGCTTTTGCTTCAACTGTCAAAGGAGAGGATGTTGTAACCGACCCAAAGCTAGCTACCCAGTAAACACCCAAGTGATCACTCAAAATAAAACCGAAGGTTGCTTTGGACTTTAACAAAAAATCTCCCATCAGAATTGAACTTCAAAATGCCCTGTTGCAAAGGCTTCCGAAACTTAATCTCATTCTTTGAATTATTACTAGAACAACCTTCCATTCTCTACTGCCAAAGATTAGATTTCTCCACCATTAACCTATGAATGGCATGAATTACAACAAAAGGACTTACATTCTCATTTTCAAAGCAACAAATATTCCTATCCTTCCATATTTCTCACAATGATAGAGAAATGTTAGTCATAAAGTTCATATTGTTCTTCCCCAACGTTGTTATAATATTCTTAAACCACTCCCCAAAAGAGGAAAACATTATGCCATGCTCTGGATTTAGGCCAAGTCCTGAGCCCGACCATATACATCTAGGTTTGTCACAAAGCAGGAGAGAATGGAGGATTAATTCCTCTTCTTTCCCACACCTGTCACATATATCAGATTCAACCAAACCTCCTTGAAACAAAGATTTTTTAACAGCAAGAGCATTCATACTGGATCTCCATAAGAAATGTTGAATTTTTTGTTCGATTGGGATGCTCCATAAGCAATTTGAATAGTTTTAATTAAGCACTGGTCTAGGAGGTCAGATGATTTTGTTTCATGCAATTCCTTTGGCAATAAAATAAGCAGCTTTGACTAGAAATTTCCCATTCTTACTTCCTACCCAACACAATTTATCATCCCAAGTGTTTGGAGGCATATCAATGTCTATTATTTTTTGGGCCATAGTCGGAGGGAATAAATAATTTATTTCGAGGCAATCCCACCTCCTATTTTCTTGGTATATAAGTTTTGCAACCACCATTTGGGATGAGGCTTCTAACTTGTGCCCCATCAGTGTAAAGCCCTCTAAATCCGGGATCCAAGGGTCATCCCAAACTCTTATTTCTAACCCACAACCAACTTTCCAACAAATACCCCTTTCCAATATTTTTCTTCATTCGAGAATACTTCTCCATCCCCAATAAGGCTTACTTGACATCTTTGTGTGAAGGAAATGAGAGTTATTATAATAGGTGGCTTTTAAAACTTTTGCCCAAAGACTATAAGAATCTTTGCATAAGCTCCAAGCAAGCTTTGAAAGGAGAGCTAAGTTAAAGGCTCTTGGACCCCTGAAGCCCAGGCCCCCATTAGATTTATTTTTTGACACTTGGTCCCAACTCACCCATCTTATCTTTTTCTTTTCACCTCATTATCCCCCCATCAGAAATTCTTTTGACTTTTACACATTGATTTACAAATTCCTTTTGGGAGAAGAAAACAAGACATGCAGTAGGCAGAGATAGCTGTGAGGATTGATTTGATGAGAACCTCTTTTCCAGCCCAAGAGAGTAAGGAGCCTCTCTAGCCTTTAGCTTGGCTATTCACTCTCTTAGCCAGGTATTCAAAAGTTTGGTTCTTCTTCATACCTATGAGAGAGTGTGAACCCAGATAGATTGAAGGGTTTTCCACTTTTTTGATATGCAGGCAATTTAAAACCAACCTTTTCAGCCTATGATGCATGTTGGAACTAAAGAATACTTCAGATTTATGGTAATTCACCTGTCGCCCCAAAGCTCTTTTAAAGAGGGAGATGGCATCCAAAAAAGGTTACTTGCCCCTCTAAAGTCTACTTTAGAGAAAATATAATTGTCATATGCAAGGGAGAAAGAGAGAGAGAGAGAGAGAGAGATTGTTGGAGCTTGTTTGCAGATTTAAATTCCAGAGAGCTCATTGTTGCTAACCTTGTGGTTCAGGATGACAAATAAAACATCAGAGCAAAGGAGGAACAAATAAGGAGAGAGGGTGTACCTCTGTCTCAAACCCCTCTAAACGGTAGATTTTCTTTGTGGGAGAACCATTCACCAGGATTTGATAAGACACGGAAGTAACACAAGTCATCACCCATGTCATCCATTTGTTACCAAATCCCATTTTTTCCATAGTTGCTTTTAAAAAATCCCACTCAATTCTATCATAAGCCTTGCTCATGTTCAATTTTGCTGCCGTAAGGCCATTTTTTGTTGCTTTTGTATGGGTCATATAATGAACCACCCCATGAGCTATAAGGATGTTATCAAAAATTGCTCTTCCCGGAATGAAAGCACTCTAATTTTCTAAAATTATTTTGTCTAGGACTGGTTTCAACCTGTTGGTCAAGATTTTTGTAATAATTTTATATGATGTATTGCACATGCTAATCAGCCTAAAATGAGATGCTTCTTCAGGATTCTCGACATTGGGGATTAAAGCAATAAAGGAAGAGTTTAAGTCTTTGTTTAGAACTCCATCAAAGAAATACCTGATTTCCCTAGTTAGATCACCCTTAACTACATCCCAACACTTTTGGAATAAGAGATTTAGAAACTCGTCGGGTCCTAGGGCTTTCTTTAAAGCCATATGAAAATAGAGCATCGTTTATCTCCTCTTCCAAGATGTCCTGAAGATCTTCATCAATTTCCCCACTTATTACTTCATTTGCCCCTTCTAAACCCACACTTATATTAGATGGGGAGGAGGAGGAGAATATTTCTCAAAAATGATTCTCTAAGATTCCCTTTATGTGGTCATGTCGTTCAATCCATTCATCATTTTTGCTTTTAAGCTTTAGAATTATATTCTCTTCTCTCCTTTTAATTGTTGAGTTATGAAAAAAATCTAGTGTTTCTATCCGCATGTTTGGACCAATTTATCCTTGACTTCTAACTGTGATAGGCAAACCGGTATTTGGGATCTGGTGCCACATCCCATGAAAGACGATGATCCATTGAGCTACTGTGTGTCTTTCCTCAAATAGTTCAAAGGTGATTTGGGTTTGCTAGATTCCTTTTTAAAAGAGCATTCATGCTTTACTAGGCCTTCTTCTACCCAACTAGGGTTGTTGATTGGAGAGAGTGGGAGTGAGAGAGACAAGTTGTATAAAGGACAAAATGGGAAAGAGATTACAGTTTTTCAAAATTTTCATCACTTGGGTTTTATTTTGAAAATTTGAGGAACAATGAAGGGTAAATTTGATTTTTTTTTCCAATTAACACTTAATTAATTGTAAAAAAACTTAAAGGTACTTTAAGACGATATACAACAAAAATCAGTTGGTTTTCACCAGTTTTTTAAACATAATGGTCATTGGGATGTGACTGAACCGGAAAGGTCCCAGACCATGGTTTAACCGGCCCGACCGAACCGGTTTTCTAAACACTACTTTCTCGAAATAAAAAACCAAATGAAAAGTAGAACTGGGTATATCTTATCCTACCCATGTCGACGCTCACGCTCGAAAACAAAATCCATAGCTAGGGCATCCTGCATCTAAATTAATCTCAATCTCTCCCTCTTTTTCGTCCTTCCTATCAAATTTTCATACACAGAGAGGATTTCTGAAACCTAGGACACGAGAACGAGAACATGCAAACTCGTAGATCTCTATAGCTTTGATTTGAACTCAGATCCCTCTTTAGTGACCTCTTAATCCCGAAGCAACTCTCCCCAGGTAAGCTGCTATTTACTACTGATTTCTGTTAATTTCGTTTTGTGACCTGGTTTTGGATCGTCACTGTGCACCATGCGTGCTCAGTTTCAAGTAAGGTAGTGGTTTCTATAGAGTGTAATTTGAGGCTTTGGGCCTCCAAGGTTGACTTTTTGATCGTTCTAGAGATTGAAAACGATGTTCATGTTTATAATATGTAATTACGATATGTTGTCGAAAAGAGAGACCTTTCTTTCATCGTCTTTCAATGAAACTCTATTCTCATTGATTTTGGGTGCTTGGCTAAGTTGTGGTTTGCTAAGGAGGACATTTTTTAGTGGAAATTGTCTATGCAATTATAATGTACAAGATCTTTTCCTCTCTCCAATTTCATGCATTCTGCCTTGGTAAGAAGAAACTGAATGAGATATAAGTGACGCTGACGGTGTTGGGAAAATGTAGTTACACTTTTCTCGAGCATCTGTTAATTGGAATTTATGCTGGGTGCTAGTTTATCTGCACAAAACTCGAAAACCAAGAAATAAATATTTCAAGATTGAGGATTCACCTACTTTTGGGTTTGTTACAGGGTTCCGCAAAAATGACAGAGCCTTCCAAAGTTATTCACATTCGCAATGTGGGGCACGAAATATCTGAAGTATATCCCTCTCCTTTTCCTGCTTAGCACAGAATCTTTACTACTACTCAAGAGTTGCCTTGCACTTTTAAATTTTAATTCTTTCTTTTTTCCTTTTTTTTTAGAATGATCTGCTTCAGTTGGTCCAGCCTTTTGGTGTCGTCACGAAGCTTGTGATGCTACGTGCTAAAAACCAGGTTTTCCTTTTTGTCCTCATTGTTGAGCATTCCTAGTTTGTAAATGTCTTTCCTCAGTCAGCTACTAATTTGGCTGGGCATTGTTTTTTACTTCAGTATTGCATCTGTGGGCATGCGTTTTAGTCTTGGTAGTGAATGCTTTTTTAATTCAAATGACTCAAGGCTAACCCTTCTTTTCCTCTATCTGTGTTCTATAGGCTCTTCTCCAGATGCATGATGTTGCTTCAGCTGTCAATGCACTGCATTACTATACAAATGTTCAGCCAAGCGTTAGGTATTATGCTATTTAAAATCTTCTTTATTTTTTGTTCCTTTAGATCCTTTAAGGGAAGTGCTAAGGAAACTTGAGTGTCACTACTCAAGTGGGCCTTTTTGTCAGTGCCTTTACAAAAGGACAATGTACCAAGGACACTTTGGTCAATAAAAGTGACTGGAGCTTTGTCCATTTCTTTAGGTGTCATTGAAGTGGTTCAAGTGCCCCCACATGAGTTTCATTAGTACTACCTTTTTGCAGCATCAGTTCTGACAATCTTGTTCTGGCATATTTGCCATCGATGCCATTATGTATTTTCTGTTAAGATCTTAAATTTGGGAGCTTGCCATTTTAGGGGGAGGAATGTATACATTCAGTTCTCTTCGCACCAAGAATTGACGACAATGGATCAGAATGCTCAAGGACGAAAAGGCGACCAGGTTGGTTGTTTGACATTTAATGGATGGCAAAGTATGTTTTTTTATTTGCTTTTGTTTATTCTGAAACCGGTGATAGGGGATGAGAAGAAACCCATAAAAGGATTAGTCTTTCTTGAGCTGAACTTTAACATACTTTTAGATGATGTCTTGTTGTGGTTACATCTTTAAAACCAATAGCAGCTTGTTATCTGTTGATATCCCTTAGAGGTTCCTATCAAGGTTCTTTGTTTAGAACACTTAATCAATTGAAAAGTTATCATATATTCTCATGTATTTCTGCCTTTTCATCAAGGGTGCAAATTTAAGATAACCGTGAAAGAGAACTATAATAGTTCATGAAAGATGAGCAACTGTTTTGAAAGACTGACAATATAGCACTAAGTGAAATGAAATTATTTTTTGATAAATAAAATTATCACATTACTAGCAAGTAAACCATCGAATGCATGTGGTTGAATAGAAATTTGATTAGGTTTGGATTGGCAAATTTGGGTTCTGAGTTTTTTGCATCCAAGCAATGTGGGTTTGAGTCTAAGAGCAGCCACTTTGTTCTTAAAATGCCAAAGGTTAGGACCCTATCCAATCTACCCCTTGCAAGATCTCATATAGCTAGGACCAACATTGGATAATGGCTTTTTTTTTTCTTTACTAGAGACTGACCCATGCACTAAGTACGAGGCCAGTATTCTGATTTTTATTTTGATATATTTATAAAAAATTAAATGTTGTTCGACACCAAATTTCTATGTTATAATTTTAGGTGATTATTTTATTTGATTTTTATGTATATATTTCTTACTTAATTTAAGAGACTAAATTAAGTTTTATTTCTAAATAATACCCCACTTTATGGACCCTACATCATTTGAAATGAGTTTTTGTTTTTTTTTTTTTCTTTTAAGTGGAGTAAACTACCACTAACTTTTTTGAGAATGGAGGTAACTACTATTTGAGTGGGTAGACACATCACACGTGTTTGAGGAAGGAAGCTTTTGTTTGAGAGTGGGAATAACCACTTTTGAGATGCTCTTGAGAAAATAAGATGACGCTTGTTTGAGGGAGAATGGAGATGTTCTCTATTATGATATAGATAGATAGATAGATACTGTGAGAGGACTCTTGGCCTCCCTCTTTTCTCTATATAATATAGATATAGATTTGTATATGTGAAGGAAATTATTTATAACTATGTCATGATAGTAAGTGCATATAGGGCACTAGCTTTAGTGCAATTAAATGGGTACCATAACACCACCTTCCAATAATGAGAACGCCAACATGATATCCCTCCTAAAATACTCTTACCAATGGATGCTTCACTTTCCAACTAAATCCTGAAATGACAGATGGACCCACCGAATTCTTTTTTTTTTTTGGCTCAGAAAAAAAAAACTACTATCACTTTTCAACTAATTGAGAAAAACGATGTTGATAAACGACTTTGTGAGGAAGTGTTGGTTGGGAGGTTAGGTGCGGATCTAGGAATGAGAGTGACAGACTGTTACAGTTATCCTGTTGAAGAGATTCACAAGAAATCCCGTGGGGTTAGGAATACACACATTGTTCACATAACCAAGGTTTTCTTTCGGTTGAAACTTGGTTTGGTTGGAGCAGGGCCCACAAAAAACTTCAAAAGGGTATATAAAAGTAGAGGGGAGAAGGTAATAGCTCAAGTTTCTAAAGAGGCAGGAAAGGAGGATTCTTGGGCTCTTAAGAGTCCTGACTCTAAGGTGGAAACCATCCAACACGAAAAAGAAAGTGAATCTGCTATCAGCTCTGAAGTAAGAATTCCTGTTAGAAGTCTTGAAGAGGAGGAGAGTTCTAGAAGAGTTCCTATCAAGAAAATTGTGGAGAGAGAAGTTGAGATTGGTAAAAGTCTTGGCTTGTTCTTTTTTTGGGGGGGGCAAGGAGTTTGCCAAGAACCTTTATTTTTTATCAGAAATGGTAACTTTCATTAGACAGATAAAGAGAATACACTGTCACCACCCAGTTAAGGGTGCTTACCCCAAGAAAAGTACTTTTTGATTACAGAACAGCTCAAAACAAGTTTTCCCTGAAAGTTGTGTCAGCTAGTCCATTCGCTGACCTCCTTGTCCACTTGAATAGTGCCCCAACCTCCCTTGCTAAGCAGTTTATTTCCCTCATGAATTGTCGATGTACTCAAGCCCCCAAGTTATGTGACTGCAACCACCCTATTAATAGTTTAGAGTCCCCTTCTACCTCAATCTGGTGTAAGCCCCATTTTTTATCCAGCCTTAGACCTTGTAGCAAGGCCATAATCTCTGCTCTCAAAGAGTCTCCATCACCTATCGGACCTGAATACAGTGCAACCAGTCTGCCCTCCCTGTCTCTGAAGGCTCCTCCCACCCTAGAGGGACCCGGGTTTCCTAAGGAACTCCCATCGAAATTCAGCTTCACCCATTGATGTGCAGGAGGGATCCATTGCTCCTTTAACACAGACCTCAATGAAGAAGAGTTTGGCACAGTACCATCCTCTAAACAAATCATCAGCTGAGTAATCTTTAAATAAAGGGGATGCTTTAAGCCAATGAATGACCTTGGTAGATATGTAGTCAATGATTTGCTCCTTAGATCTTTCAGAACCCTGGAAGATCCTATTGTTTCTTTCTTCCCAGATTGACCACAAAACAATTGATCTTGTTGCTCTCTACATTGCTCTCCCCTTCTTCTTTGGAGGTCTAAAGAAGTTTGGATCAAAGAGTCTTACTACATCCGAAGGAGGGGTCCACTTGCATCTGAAGAGAGAGGAAAACCAATTCCAAACAAAGGATACAAAATAGAAAAGGACAGGATATAAATAAGTGTGTAATGGTCTCGCCACAAGCCAAGCAGAGGCTACACATGTGGGGTGAAAGGCAGCAAAAGGCCCTTATTTTTGGGGGTACAAGGTTACACCAAACCTCCTTTGTTGGGAAGGTTTGGTGCAAGTGGCGAGACCATTACACACTGTATTCTGTTAATTTCGTTTTGTGACCTGGTTTTGGATCGTCACTGTGCACCATGCGTGCTCAGTTTCAAGTAAGGTAGTGGTTTCTATAGAGTGTAATTTGAGGCATTGGGTCTCCAAGGTTGACTTTTTGATCGTTATAGAGATTGAAAACGATGTTCATGTTTATAATATGTAATTACAATATGTTGTCGAAAAGAGAGACCTTTCTTTCATCGTCTTTCAATGAAACTCTATTCTCATTGATTTTGGGTGCTTGGCTGAGTTGTGGTTTGCTAAGGAGGACATTTTTGAGTGAAAATTGTCTATGCAATTATAATGTACAAGATCTTTTCCTCTACATGTGTAGGAGGAAAAGAAAGGAGGAAAGGAGGGCAAAATGCCATGGATAGCTTTCCCAGGATACCATAGGGTCAAGACCAGCATCCCACCTGTTTTCTGCCACCCCGTGTATACTCACTATCACTTTGTGCCACAAGTTGTCCTGTTCCAGAGGTAGTCTCCATAACCACTTTCCCAACAAGGCTGTATTCCTTAGCTTTATGTTTCCTATACCCAACCCTCCACTATCTCTACTTCTAGAGACCACCTCCCACTTCACCAGGTGATCTTTCTTTGTATCCCCTGGTTCCCATAAGAAATCCCTCATTAGTTTCTCCAATTTAAAAGCCACACTAGTGGGGATCTTGAAGGTAGAAAGGAAGTAAATTGGTAGGTTTGCCAAAGTCGATTTTATTAGGGTAATTCTTCCTCCCAGAGAGATGTAATTTCTCTTCCATCCTGCTAACCTCTTTGAGAATCTTTCCAAAACTGGGTACCAGAAGCTTTCTGACTTTGGATTCCCTCCTAAAGGCAATCCTAGATACTATAACGACCAATCACCAGCTTCACATCCCAACGCTCTAGCAAGGATTCCTACCTCTTCTTCCGATTTATTAACTCCTACCACACAGTTCTTTCCCCAATTAATTTTGAGATTAGAGGCCTTTTCAAACTGGTCTACCAACCTCTTCAAATTGATTAACTCCTCTTGCTCCCCTCCACAAAAAACAATAATATCGTCTGCACTTCAAATTGCCAAGAAGGCCTTTGAGTAGTTCAAGAGAAAGAGGATGGACGAGAGGTTGAAGAAAATGGAAGTTAAAGAAAGAGGTGATATGTGGGACGAAGAAGATGACAGGCAGGATGAAAGTTTCGGGGAAGAAGTTTAGGAAAGTTGGGCGTTTGGGTTCTGTTTATGGTCAATTGAGTTGGAGTCAGGTAAGGTGGTCAATTTGGAGTTTATCTCTTTGTTCATGTAATTCAGTGTAGGTGGGTTAAGTTCTTTTAATGTCTGTCTTTTCTCTCGGGCGATTTCTTGTCCCCTTTTACCCTTCAAAAAAATTGTTCTATTTCTATCTAACATGCACAACTTGACACATTAGTTGCATGTATTCATGTAATGTGGAAACAAACCGGCCTATTTGTTTTCCTCTTCTTAATGGTAACTACAAGAGAATGATAAAGATTTTTTTTTTTCCAAAATATCAAGCGACTCAATTTAAGTGGTCTGTCTCTTTTTAATTATTTGTTTATCTTTCTTTCTCCCACCCTTCCTGTCTTTTTACTCTTTGCCTTTTTATTTCTATTTATTCTTTTGAGGTTGATTACATTTTATGGAAGTTGAATGAATCAGATGATTAGTTGTTCCCTTAGACATTAGGAAAGAATAGAAAGCAGGTGTATGGGGGAGAAAAATTTTAGATCATAGTCTTTAGTTTTAGAATACATATGTCATATCTTTTCCCTTTATCTTAGTCACTTAAATTTAGAGTGGGCTTCTAGATAGGGCCATAACCCAATGATTGTCCAAGCAATCCAGGGTCTTGTGGGCGATAGACTAGATATGAACCTAACCTTCAGCACTTTTTTTTTTTTTGGGACAAAGTGGCATTTTCAGACTTGAACCTGCATTCTTATGTTTATCAGTTTGGGATTTTGTCTATTACTTATACCATAAATTCTTTTTGAGCTCAAGTCAACAAGATTTGATAAGCTGATAAGCAAATAGCCATAGCAGAGGGTATTTTAGGAAGGAAATTTTGTCTGTGTTTATTGTTGGAAGGCGGTGATACCGAGGCTGTTACATGCTCCTTAAAAGCAAGTGAAATATTCATATTTCCTGTCAAAAGAAAGTGAAATGTGCATATACATGTTAATGAGGGTGGTTGGAGGGATGATTGTTTGATTTCATACTGTTCTGTGGGCACTCAATCTGGTATCAGTATTCTACACTATATATTGTTATATCATATTATGTTTTATTTATTTGATTTTATCATATAATTTATTATTATATCATTTTCCAGTTCTTTTTTATTGAAGATAAATAAAGAAAAAAAGTTTATTACTGAAAAGAAGAATATAACTTAAACAGGTGACAAGGAGTCACCCCACCAAGCAAATACAAGAAGCAATTAAAGGTTTCACTGATCCAAAAAACTTCAGAATACATAAGCCAGAAAAACAATAACTCTTGATTAGTCATTCAGAGTGCGCCAGAAGTCAGCTCCAATGCCTTCTTTCTTTAGGCCTTCAAAATCTAAAGAACCAACACCCAGCGAAGGGAATACAGAAGCCACCCCAACTTCTTGTTTCTCCTAAAAAATCCTCTTGTTTCTCTCCTTCAAAAATCCTCTTGTAAAAATTGTAGCCTATATCCAACATACAGTGAAGGGAATACAGCTCCAGATAATTTTTTTCCATATAACTTCCATGAACCCTTGGTCATCAGCAAAAGATTCCAGCAGTGTCCAATTGTGACCAGACATCCACCTTGAAGAGCTTGAAGTTGGACCAGATTCCTTTCATTAAATTGCATTGGACCAGCAGGTGCAGAATATTATCCTCTTCAGCAAAACACAAAACACATCTGTTTGGAAACTGATAGCCTCTTTTCTTCAATATATCCTGTGTCAGAATGCAACCCCTTGAAATCAACCAAGAAAAAGCTTATACTCTTGGGGGGACTGGTTTCCCCCAAACACCTCTAATTGGTTCAGTCTCCACTTGATTCATTATCAAAACCATTATTACATAAATTTGACTGTGAACCTCCCATGTTTACATTCTTTCCACCATTTGACATTTGAAGCCAAGGGGTCAATCTCCACTGCCTGAAGCCTTGCCAGCAACTCCACACACTCCTCTAACTCCCAATCAAACAAAGGTATTCTAAATTTCAGGCACCAAACCACAAAACCATTACTAGTTGTTTCATAGCAATCAGAAATAGGAAGGAAATTGAACATCATGATCCCCTTCCACAAACTTACCCCATAAGATGACCTCACTTCCCTTGCATCCCACCCACACCACCCCATACTTACATGCCCCTTCTATCCTCCAAAGGGCTTCCCCTCCTTCACAAACCTCCAAACCCACTTCCTCAATAAAGCTTTATTAAAGAAAGATAATGACAACAGTTGTAGTTTGCTCTCAAGAATGAGAAAAGAGTTCCTAGTTCATTGTTAAAAAAGGATTGTGGTTCAATTCGAAATGACTTGTCTAAACATGTCAATGGAAATAAAAGGATTTGTAATTTCCAGAAGAACTCAACTGCAAATGGAGAGTGGTATTAAGATTGAATTGAATACATGCTTATTTTTATGCAACTGTACTTGCACATTGTTGACTCTTTTTTCTTGAGATTTTTTCATGTCAGATCTTGTTTCTATGTCTTATAGGAACAGTGATATGCCTATGAAAGCATGACTATTACACTTGCATGAAGTGAGTTATGAGTAAAATATACTCTTTGTCCTTTCTAGTGATTAATCTTAGGATCCTAAGCTGAAACCTTGAAGGTTTTTAATCAACAATGATCATGGTTATGATTCTGTTTAAATGTCAATGCTAGGGGTGGATTCCTTGCTTCGAGGTGTTCATGCAGGGTTAATTTATTTTAGATAAACTCATAAAAATTCATTTTAGATAAGTTCAATACTCTGTTGTAATACCTATAAAAATTCCTCTGTTGTGATAACAAAAAATTCCAACAGAGCACAGGGCCTATCTTTTCTTTGTAAACATGTTTGCAGTTTGTGTTATGTCAATAGAGATGAGTTGTCAACTCCTGAATGCTTGTTTTGCATTATCTATATATGTATATGTAGCAGAAACCTTCTCTTTTGATTCGTTAACAAATGTTTTACTGAAAATGTCTGAGGTATGAGATGAGTTCATGCAGCCTAGTTTTCTTACCAGAGGAGAAGACAAGAACAGACCAGAACCTGGTCATTATAAAAATTGAAAACAGTGACTTTCTAGCCATTTGTTTATATTGAGAATAACTAACTCTTCATGCTTCATTATACAAACAGTGATGACCGAACTATACATTTAGCAAAGAGAATGATGGAAACTATTTATGATTTTTTTTTCTTTATTCCTTTCCTCTCTTGCTTTTCCTTTTACTTTTTCTTTCTATCTGAACTTCAAATTCTTGTTTTTTTTTTGTTTATTTATTAACATATAATATCATGTAATCTCATTTTTTTTCATTATTCTTTCTCCTTTCCTCTGTATATTCTTCTCTATTCATTCTCTCTGTCTCTCTCCTGTCTCTATGTTGGTCTGCTGTCGGGCACTCTCAGGATACACAGCCCAATCGAATTCTCTTAGTTACAATCCATCACCTGCTCTATCCTATAACAGTGGAAGTGCTGCATCAAGTTTTTTCTCCTCATGGATTTGTGGAGAAGATCGTCACATTTCAGAAGTCAGCTGGTTAGCTTCTTCAAGTCTTCTCTTTCTCTCTCTTAAATTTCAACTCATTTGACTTGGGAAGATTGGCTGGATGGGTTTTTCATTAGTGTTAATTTTGAAGGTCCTTAAATGGTTCTTCCTCTCTTTGCATAGTGTGTGTGATAGTTTTAATTAAAAAATTGTTGTGATGTAAAGGTGGCCTTTCCTTTTGTCTTGAACTGTATTGGAAAATTTCCTTGTTGCTACCCTTCTAATTATTCTAGATCACATTCACAAAAAAGAAGAAGTGAAAGAATTTGTTAATTTTCTTTTCTTTTCTTTATTTGTGTGAAATTCATAGGTTTTCAAGCACTTATTCAGTATCAATCACGCCAGAGTGCTGTTTCAGCAAGAACTGCTCTTCAAGTATGTAAATAGTTTACCATTCAAAAGTTAAAATTGTTACAAGAAGACTAGAGGAGCTCTAATTCCTGATCATTTCTTTTCAGGGTCGTAATATTTATGATGGTTGCTGTCAACTAGATATTCAGTTCTCAAAGTAGGTCTTTAAGACTTGAGCAGTACATAATTTATTGGTGTGTTTTTTTGGGGTGGGTGGGTTGTTTTAGCTGCCAGGAATGAACTCATGTTAATTGCTGCTTTTTTGCAATCCAGCCTTAGTGAGCTACAAGTGAACTACAATAATGAGCGGTCAAGGTGTGTCCACAGTGTCATGTAGAATTAAAGTGTGCTGCTTTGAAAATCACCTTTTTTTTTGTTTTTATATGAATATGCTGTTAAGTTGGATTCTTTTTTATATATATGTGCACAGGGATTTCACAAACCCATCTCTGCCTTCAGAACAGAAGGGAAGATCCTCACAAGTATGTTGTCTAGCTTATATATATTCTGTAGTTTGCCTTTGGTCTGCATTTAATAATCTTCTTTTTTCTACTTGTGCAGCAGTCTGGGTATGGTGATGCAGGGGGCATGTATTCACTTCAACCTGGAGCCAGGGCAGGTACTAATTGTTTTTCTTTACTTCTTGAGGGTCGCATTGTTAATTTTCTGATTATTTACTAATGCTTATATCATTTTTTTCAGTTGCATTCCCTCAGGTGAGTGGTCCTTGGATTATGTTTTTGGACGTGTCAAGGTGGACTTGTTTTGAACTGTGGGTTTACTACCTGGTTGTCTGTTTTAGAAGTGCTTTTGATGTTTGTACAAATGACTCTTGCTCATTGTTTTATGTATGATTTACATGTCATACATACGATGTGGATTGGGGTCCACCAAGCCATGGATTTCTGCTGAGCGAAAAGTTGGTCTTGTTATTCACTTTGGTATACCATATCTCCTGGAGTTTCCATTGGAAAATTAAAATAAAAAAGAAAAAGAAAAGAAAGAGGCAATCTGTGAATTCAGTTAAGATAGCTCAAATGGGTTGAGAATTGCTTGGACTTTATGTGTGGGAAATAATTGGATGGTGGGTCTTGATTTTTGTCACATGCTCCAAGTATGCCCACAGGGAGTGAGTGGGGGCAGTGTGGGACCTCTGATTTATGTACTTTCTATAATTACTGGCATGTTAAGTATGCTTTAGGTGGAAAGATCATCCCACATGTGTGAACCATTTTTCCCTTTTGTTTCATTCTAGATGGGGAATGCGGCAGCAATAGCAGCTGCATTTGGAGGAGGATTGCCTCCTGGGATTAGTGGTACTAATGACAGGTGCACCATCCTGGTCTCTAATCTAAATTCTGATGTAAGCCGTCTTTATTCTTGTTTTTATCGCAATTATTTATATCAATGCTGTTCCATTTAGTTCATGTTTGTTAACTTTTACTTCATCTCAGAAAATTGATGAGGATAAGCTCTTCAATCTGTTCTCCATCTATGGGAACATTGTGAGGATCAAACTTCTTCGTAATAAACCAGATCATGCACTTGTTCAGATGGGAGATGGTTTCCAAGCTGAATTGGCAGTTCACTTTCTGAAGGTCTGTCATGCTGCTATTATTTTATTTCTGGTATGAGCTCAGTAATGTTGTTATTCCATCGTGTAATTGCATGCACCAAGTTGCCAATACTTGTATAGTTGTCATTTGCATTTTTGGACACCTAATTATTGGGCACCTTTGGTAATTCTTTTAGGAGATACTTTGTTGCTTTGTGTTGGTTTGAGACAGTTTATGTCTGAGAAATGGTTTGATCAACCATGCCTCCAATGTCTGCATCATGGATGAGCGGTTTTGTTTTGGTTCAGCTTTGTTTTGTTAGATTTGGCTATTTTGTACTTTATTATTGCCTTCATATTTCTAATGATTTTTCCAGTTATTGATTAAAACTAAAAATAGAAAGCATTGAACTATTTTCTTGGATATAGGGAGCAATGTTGTTTGGAAAGCGATTAGAGGTGAACTTCTCTAAGCATCTAAACATTACAGCAGCCCCAGACACACGGGAGTACTTGAATTCAAATCTTAATCGCTTCAACCGCAATGCTGCAAAGAACTACCGGTACTGTTGCTCTCCAACCAAGATGATTCACCTGTCCACCCTACCCCAGGACATCACAGAGGAAGAAATCATTGCCCACCTGGAAGAGCATGGAAACATTGTCAACACCAAGCTCTTTGAGGTGAATGGGAAAAAGCAGGCTCTGGTCCTGTTTGAAACAGAAGAGCAGGCCACGGAAGCTCTTGTGTGCAAGCATGCCAGTACCATTGACAGATCAGTTATCCGGATCTCCTTCTCTCAATTGCAGACCATCTAAAGAGAGCCCAAGATACCTTGGGAAGATGGAAGTGGTCCTATGTATGGAGAAGATAAGTGGGCAGCAGATCTTCTCTTTAGTATTCTGTGTGTGTGTGTGTGTACTGGTGGGATTTCTTTTATGTTTTTCTTTGTCTCCACTCTTGGTTGGTTTTTAGATTTCTCTTTGTATCGCACCTGTTGCCATGGGGCAGTGGAAAATAGGCCATGAAGTGAATCGCTTTTCTGGCTTTCCCTTTCTTTCTTCACTTGTAGTATATACCCTGCATACCATATCACCATACAAATTTGTCATTTTGCTGATCTAAATTAATTTTGGTCTATAGAGTTACATGCTCGAACATCTGTTTGAATCCCTGTAGTACTTACGTATTTCTCGTTCAAACGACCATTTTAGTAAGGCTGCGTTTGGGAATGCCTTTTTTATGGCGAAATGGGCTTCTTAAAAAGCCACTTTTTGAAACGTTTTTTTAAGTGTTTGGCTGGTTGCCAATTTTTTTTGTTCAAAATAGCTTCATGCAAACATGAAAAAGCTAAATGGAGGTTTTTTTTTAACCTGTGCTTCACTGGCTTTCGGCTTTCTTAAAGTAAAAAGCACAAAAAGGCTATTGAAAAAGCACTACCCAATGATAATTTTCAACTGTAATAAGAGATTAACAGTCGTGCCTATTGGCTAGGCCGATATACTCGGGTAAGCAGCAGCCCATGCGAATGCGAGGAGTCAAGAACTCCAAACCCCAAGCTCAATCATCTCTTTCTCTTATCAGATAGTTGAGACTTGAGACTAGAGAGGGCTCTCTTGCAAATGACACTTCTGTTTACGCAACTTCTCTACCTCTCTGACTCCGATGTATTGGATTCTTGATATGAGCTTTTGTTGGAGTGCAGCCCGAGTTATTCATGATACAGACAGTTATCAACGGTTGATCTCTATGATACAGAATTCGTAATTGAGACCATGGTTTTTCATTCTTGATCAGTTCTTCTCTCCCAAATCCCAATGGGCTTACGAAGATCTATGAAAGCAAGGTGCATCAACCAACCACAGAAAACATCTTTAATGTTATTAAAATAAATTAGAAGAAGTACACCTTATAAAAAACACGAATCAATCAAAATAAGTAGACCATATAACATTTTTAATATAATTGATTGAATGTATCGCAAATATTCACTATACTACTATAAGTAGACTTCACCATCATTATCATCCACGCCTTATGCCAAGTGCTGTATCATCAATCTATCTGTTCTATTTAAAACCATATCACCTCTTAAACGTTTTAAGTTATTTCTACCGATGTCCCTTTTGTCCACCCTTAGCTCTTCTAACGGTCTAACCCCTTGCACTTCTAGCAAGTAGCAAGTAGCAAATCACTTCTTCTAACGAGAGTTGTTGCTGGTTTTTTACCCACATGACAAATTGGACTAATCGGGTCGGTTTTACCCACCCGTTACTTCTCCGTTCCATTCAACGTCACCAGTAACGTGATACTTAACTTGCCACACTAATCTAGGCCGTTGACACCTTAAAATCTTATCCTTCGTTCTTGTCCATGCATAAGCCCGGCATTTGCTTCCAGGTGCTTGAACCGAATTTACACGTTCATGGACGCAAATCACATTCGATTTACCTCTGCAATTACGTTCAGAGAATCCCTTCTGAAGATACCCCAGAAATACTCTGCTCTCTCTTTCAGCTTTCACTCTGATAAGAAGAAGAATTTCAGAAACCAGAGCTTGAATTCTCAAACTCGGAGGTTCTGCAAGCTGGGCAGTGCCAGCACGGAGAACTTCGACGAGGCAGCTTTCGAGGCCGAGAGGCTCAGACTCGACTCAAAGGCTCGAGAATCAATGGCGGAAAAGGCCGAGAGGGAAAGGGAAATCAGCAACGACTCGGAGGACGACCCGAAATCCTGGAAATGGACAATTCGTAAGAGAATTTGGGATATGATGGAGGCAGAGAACATCGCCCAGAACCCTCGTCCTGTACATCATCGAATTCCCAATTTCGTTGGGGCTGCTGCCGCTGCAAAAAACGTGAGTTGTCTTACGGTTGCATTCTCTAAGTCCATAGTGCAGTAGTGCTTGTTCTTTCTTTCTTTCCTTTTCCTCCTGTTCATTTATTTGGGTAAGTGGACATTTGGATCATCTTTCAAGTTTCCCTGATACTGGAAAACTATCCTTATTGTGACTCGGTCGAGTTTGAGTTAACTCGGTAATTTTACTAAACATAATTGGCCATGGTATAGTTGGCAGGTATCGTATCCATTCTGACTGGTTTTCTTGCTGTTGTGTGTATTATGAAAGTTAGGTGGACTAGAAGTGTTTCGAGTGGCAAATTGTGTGAAGGTTAATCCAGATTCGCCGCAGAAGCAGGTCCGGTTTTTAACACTATCAGGTTAGTGGGAATATACCTGTGGCTGTGATTCACCAATTCCTGTAGTAAGCTTTCTTCTTAATTCCTTGTATCTGCTGATTTAGTGATTGATTCCGTTTTGCTTGAACGTTGGAGACAAAGTTTGATTACAGATCATATTCGCTTTGCTAGATTAAACTCCACTCTGAACTTGTTCATTTAGAGTTGTTTTCCCTATTAGCTTTTGTCTGTTGAATTTGCTAATAGCCTGCTTGGATGCCACTTAAAATGAAATTATTTCATTGTGGTTTCTTTTCTCTTTCGATAAAACAAATCACCATCTAAAATTGGCAATTTCCCATTGTTGATGAAAGATTTGAATGGGTTCACTCTGGGTTTTCAAGAAATGAGCTCATTTGTAGTTTTGCTAGTTTTCATTTCAACGGCAAGTGGATAAGAATTTTTCATGCTGAAATATTTGAGTTGCATTTTCACTTCTTTTACAATGAAAAGTTTTCATTGTTATTTACATTCTTGATGGGGGTGGAAAACAAAGTTTTCACTGTAAAAGAGGCAGAAATAATAGCTGAAATATTTCACTGAAAAATTTTCCATCTATTTCATGGAGAAAATTGCAGCCCATGGAATGGATTATGGAAATGAAAGTATATTATATGATCACAATGTGATGCAAAATGATAATGAAGTGATTCCACCTTCACGTGGCAACTGAACGGGCTTTAAGGAAATATATATTTGGCGGTTTTGGTTTTAAATAAAAAAATATTGTACATTGAATCGGTGGAATGATCCCTCCTCTTTTTCACATATATCATGCTTCTTCTTGCAACCATTGATGAATAATCTCTTTCATGAGTTCCTCAACTTCGTGTAATATTATTTTGATGTAACATCTATGACTTTTTCTATCTGATTGTAGGAGGAAAGAAGTTGTTGACCCCTCAACCCCGTCTGAGGACCGGATTTTTCTCGGTGCTGGAAGCACAAAAGTTATCTCCTAATACTATCAATGAAGCCTGTACCTCTGTTGGGGTTGCTAAGTATGGAAAGCCAATTGGTCTAGATGAGAAAATCAAGGTGGATCTTATAGTTATCGGTTCAGTGGCTGTGGACCCAAGGACTGGTGCACGCCTTGGCAAGGGTGAGGTAATTATGCACATCCTCCAGGTTCCTAGTAATAGCAGCCATGCTATTTCTTTCTCTTCTTGTAAGATACAAACCCCTTGGCAAACATATGACAGTATGAGTAGAAAGGGGTAATTAAGAGAACTAACATCCTTATTGTTTAATTATAATATCATTGTTGTGCTACTAGGAACCTAGTATTCCTTTTTTTTATAATAGAGGTTTTGGTATTGCTTTTGTGCCTATATAAATATGATAATTTGAATAAGAGGCATTGCAAAGTACAGAAGCATGCTTTTCATGGTTGAAGGAGTGCAATGTTGTATTAATATCCTAGACTAAACTCTCCCATATTACAAGAAATTATTATCAGTACTCTCCTATGATCTTAAGATATTCAATTTTCTTCCATGAAGCCCCAGGTCCCTCTTTCTTTTATGTCTACAATAATTGCCTTAGGATGACTTTACATTTGTGACCATCAAAGAATAAACCTGATTTTCCACGAGTCAGTAGAATCTGCTTTTGTGTTGTAGGGTTTTGCTGAACTTGAGTATGGAATGTTGCGATATATGGGAGCCATTGATGACAATACCCCAGTAGTCACTTCTGGTAATTGGAGTCTCTCTTACTTCCCTCTATATATTTATTTTATGATTTACATTTTCGCTACCTCAAAAGTGAGCTCCGATCTACCCACAAACTGTTCCTACAACCATACTCACTACAGGCACACATTGGGAATTTTTCCCTTGCATTCATGGGGAGATGTTCCTAATACACAGTGGTAATGTCTTGTGGGTATGGATGGATGTGGGAACAATTTGTGGGTGGGATCAAAAGCAGGATCCAGCAGGTTGAACATTTTTTTTTCTTTTATCAGGGTTGGAATCCTGTTGGTAGGTGGTGCATATCAGGCAGCTTTTTTTGAGGGTTGATGTTTCTCCTCAATACATACGAGGGGCTCAGCAGTAACCTTACTTATCTGAAACATTACATTTGCATCACGAGATATATATTTTTAAGTTCACCTATTTCAAGAAAGTGGTAGAATTTTGACAGAATGTTCTGTTTTGTACCTCATCTCACTAATTCTTTGCATCACAAGTTGCACCCGGTGGACTGAATACAAGAAGTTGAACAGGGTTGCATGATAACAAAAGGTTGATGAGAAAAAGAGGGCTGATCATGGGAAAAGTGGCTTCTCAACATTGTTATACAATATTATAGGAAGAACAAAATGTTAGTAACCATTTTGAGCATCAATAAAAATCACTTGATTGGATTTCAGGTCTTTCTGACCTTTTTGTTTGGTGTCCTCTGAGGAGTTTCATACATGTTCATCAGACCCTAGAATCTGTTCTATTGGAAAGAAAAGGTCTATGGATTATGCGGTTACCATTGTCCAATCATGTCCAGTTTTGGTATTGGATGCACCTTCTGTGTGGAACCTCTTAAAACTTTGTTTCCCTGTTCCTCTTACTACTGCATCTACAAGGCTGTACATGGCTGTCCCACCCATGATTTGTACATTTTATTTTAGTTCAGAACTACCCATTTGAGTATGCTGTACAGTTCAAATATTTGATCAGTCTTTGATAGTCCATGTTACTGTATGTGTCAATCTGATTGTTTAAAACTGATGCAGTGCATGATAGGCAACTGGTAGATGATATTCCCGTTGAGAAGCTGTTAATACATGATGTTCCTGTTGACATTATATGCACTCCTACGCAGGTGATCTTCACCAACACATCAATACCAAAGCCTCAAGGTGCACTTTTCTCTAATTCATCACAATACTCTTTGGATCATATTGGAAGCTATAACCTCATTCTTTGAGTTAACTGTAGGAATTTATTGGGACAAACTATCTCCAGAAAAGCTTGGTCAAATCCGAATTCTCAGGGAGCTCAAGAGTAGGGTTGAGCGAGAAACTGGCCAGAAACTTCCTTCCGGGCCCTCAGAAAAGTTACCTCCCACTTCTCAAAGGAGGCGACGCTAAGAAGAACTGCGTAACCATTCAAGTCTTCAAAATAATTTGTTTCGTTTTTCTTTTCTTTTTTTTTTCACCTTCCAGTGGGGTGTGGGGTGGGGTGGGGATATAATCAACTGTATGCGTGGGGTTTTTTCATCTGTAAGTTAGCTCCTATCATGTTCATGCTCTATGCCTTGTTATAGCTTTTCCCCTTCCATTTTTTGTTGGAATATGACCAGAGGGGTTTTATTGGGAGGCAGCCTGTAATTAGTATTTGGATTATGCAGGAAGAGAGAAACAACTACAAAACATGATCTTCTAATGCTCCTGATTTGTTCATTAAGAAGACCCATCTCTTGTCTGCTCACTTTTTTACTTTTCATGCTTATTATCACCCAGAATTCCCTAGAGTACGAGATACTTCATTTCATACACTATCTCAAGGAAATTATCCGAAAAAAATAAATAAAAGCAAAGACTTCATACGTTATAAAGGACAAAAGCTCAGCCTTGACCAAGGTTCAGACTTCAGAGTATTGATAAATTGCGTATCGGTAGTTTTCAACAAGCCATACTCAAGGTTTTTAAAACCGGACTGTACAGGGAACCGTTATGGGGACCGGTTCCCGGGTTCAATGGTTTGACCATTCGGTCTGAATGGATGGCCCGTTTTGACAAAATAATAATAAATGGCCAAAAATCATTGTCTAGGTCAATGGTTTGACCGCCTAGGTTTACAGTTTGCTGATTAAATCAATAGTTTTTGGCCAAAAAAAGCAGTTTTGGGGTGAAACGGAATTGGTTACCTGAATGATTCCTGGTTGTTCTAATCTGACTGCCCAGTCTGGTCTGGTTTTGAAAACATTGACCATATCTTTCTTTTGCTTTATATCTTTTACTTTTTGGTAGATTACTGAAACATCTCCTAAAGTTTTTGACAGTTGCTTAAACCTCCTCTAAAGTTTGGTAATTGTAATCACCTCCCCTGAACTTTTTGACTAGACTTGTTCATGGGCCGGGACAGGCTTTCACTCTTCATTAATGAAATTTTTTCTGCCCGAGCCTGGCCCTCATAAAAAGCCTAAAGCCCGAAGCCCAACCTAGAATACAGAGAGAGAGAGGGCGGACCTGGTCGGGCTTGCTGCCGCCACTGAACAGAGAGAAGGTGCACATTGAGATGTTAGCCTAAGTTCACCAGAGAAGAAAACGATTGAGAGGGAACAAAGAACTGAGAATGAAAAGTGAGAACTGCTGGTCCATTTGTTGGAGAATTTGAGAAGACATGCTGGGCTGCTAATCCGTTGCTAGGGTTTTGGGAGAATGAGAAATGGAAAATGATGACTGCTGACTGCTGAGAATGAGAACTGAGAATTGGAAAACAATGAACAGAGAAGAAAGGGGAAAGTCAGGCTCAGGTAGGTCTTTGAGAGTTTAGAAATTAGAAAGTAGGGTTGTTTCATAAGAATGCCCAACCCGACCAACCCATGAAGAGGTCTATTTATAGCAGTTATAAGTAGACCCCTCCCTTAAGAGAATTTAAACTTGTAACTTTGAGTGATTAATAGTTTAACATCGCTAGAGAAAGGGCTTGAACCTTTGACCTTGTGGTTAACAGCCACACGCTCTAACCAACTGAGCTACTCCAGCTTATTAATTTAATAATTATCATTAAATTTATTTCAACGGTATTTAAAAATGTAAAATGCATTTTTTTTTAACTCACCACTCCTGTACTCTCAGCATTGATACCATTTATAACTCAATATGCGAAAGCTTGAAGAAAGAGAAACGTGCTGAAATAAGTCTCCAAAATAAGAGTTCAGATTGTGCCCTATAGAGCACGTCCCACATTCACATCTCAGCGTGCACGTAGAACATCTTCCCATACATGTCATGAGAAGATATTCCCCATACACGGTTGGAAATTTGGGATGTGCTCTAGGACACACATGCAAGGTTCAAAGTGGGTATTTGGCATCTGATGTAACCATTTTCGGTCACGTATCATTTTTTCGTGATGTGTCAATTTTTTGCCTAAGTACCTCGTTATCTTGTCTGCTTCCGTGTGGTCGGTGACTCAGAGGCTGAAGTGGAGCTCCCTGGTGGCGAACTGCCTGGTGGTGAGCTACTTGGTGATGAACTGCTTGGTGGTGAGCTATTTGGTGGCAAACTGCCTGGTGGTGAGTTACCTTGATGAGCTACTGGGTGGTGAGCTGCCTTGATGAGTTGCTTGGTGCGCTGCCTTGGTGGCGAGCTCCCTAGTGTAGTGCAACCCGACTGCTCTCTGCATGAAATGATCTGCTCCTCTTTGTAAACGGCGGCAATTGACGTAACCTGCAAGAACTGAATCAGAGAACCCAGGGGTGTCTACCCGGCGAGGTCACTCCGATGGCTAAGTTAGCACTCTGATGGTAGAGAGCTTGAAGATGATATTAGAGAATGAGAGAGCTAGAGAGCAGGGGTTACCATCATTTTTCCTCCTTTTCCCCTCTGGGGGGTGAGGTCTTTATATACTGGAGTTCTCGTGGGTTAGTGTAACAGTCACTGGATCCCTACTATGATGGGACCTGTTGCATGTTAGGTGGGTGAAAAGCCTTCAAACGGTAAGACTCGTCACATCCCGTCGAAATCGGGGTACAGTGGTGAGCTCCTCGGGGTTGTCAGGCTGGCGCTTGTGTCAGGCGGCCAGGTCGGCGCCTGGGCCGGGTTGTCAGGTCGACGCCTGTGTCAGGCGGCGGGTCGATGTCTGGGCTAGGTTGGCGCCTGTCAGGCCACCAGGTCGGTGCCTAGGCCAGGCTACCAGCTCGCGCCTGTGCCAGGCCGTGCCTATGCCAGGCTAAGGGTGAGCTACCTATGGCGAGCTGTCTAGTTGTCAAGAGGCTACACAGTTGGCATGAGGTGCGAGGTGTCACAGTTTCACTGGAGGTCCAAATCCGCCCTCATCAGCATCGATGCCTTTGTTGAGAAAATGACACACATCAAAGAAAGCAATGCTTCAAACAATGCCCTTTTGTTTGGTACCATTTTTTCTAGAAAAAATATTGCTCTAAACCATGCCTTAAAAATCGGGAAAGTATAATCTTGAGCAACACCAAATTCAATATTTTCTGATAAAAGGACATTACTGTCAGTGGTGCAATGATGTGGCATCATCCTAGTCGTTGGATAATATAGAACAATTGTTGAAAACGTTGCTGCTAGTACTAGTACCAAACAAAACCAATGCTATTTTTTTCAGAAAATGCCTATGTGGCAGCACCGGTTCCAAACAAAAAAAAACTTACAACTCCACATGACCAACACCATTTTTATGAAAAAACGGTGTTTCGAGGTTTAACCCAGTTCAAGGGGGTAGAAGGACCTTATACCGACCCCTCTAAATCAGTTTCACAAATACAAAAAAAGAAGAGCGAGGGCCGATACGTCCCCACCGGCATATCAGGCTGTATCAATATTTTGAACTTTGCACCCATGCAAATTCATGAAATTAATCAAATCAATGCAGCTTTGCAGAATTGCACCAAAACAAGCAGGATGTCAATTGGCTTATTGGCAATTAAAGTCTTTGGCTGGTTGTGGGAGAGGCTAGGGATGAATCACACCTGCACCAGGGTTTATGGGTTTGGAGATGGGTTACCCCATGAAGAAGGAAAAAATATAAAAAAGAAAATAAAATTAACAATTTCACTCATGCAAAAGGCTCCTAACCCTTTTAAAGGAAAGTGAACCTTGTGTTCAAATTTATGTACAAAACCTTGTATTTTATATTATATTATTTTGTATATATTTGTAGTGTAAAAATTTATATTCATAATCTTAGGCTCAATTGGAGGAACACAAATACAAATATATAAAGTGCAAAATCTTATATTTTATATGTATTTGTATAGCACATATTTGTATTTATACTCTTATGCTCAGTTTGGAATACAAATACAAATGTAAAAAATGCAAAACCTTGTATTTATAAACAAGTCTTATGATTAGTGGGAGTGCTGAAGATGCAGTTGGTTTGGCATAGTTGCACAATATTGAAGGTTTACTTGCTTAAATTTGAAGTTATCCCGCTTCTGGTTCTGGCTGTCCAGTGATTGGTTTTAGTGCCCACCAAGTACATAGTTCTAATCTTTCTAGAGATATTTACGAGGTATTCATCTCCAAGGAAAATAGAGAGAATGGTGGTTCAGCATTCCGGCAACTCCTGTTGTTCTTGAAAGAATTAAAGATAAAAGATGAAAAGATGTGTATAGATGATTTTAGGGGCCATAATTACTTGATAAATTCTCATGAGAGCATGTATTTAAGTATGAAAAAAATGTCAAAGTTTAGAACTGTACCCAGTCAGTGTACCCCTCCTAAACCCCCACATAGCTTGGCCATGGATTTTTTTTGTTCACACTTCGCAGTAGTAATATTATCAGAATCACGAGTAGGGCTCTATAGCCTTGAAATTGAATATATTCCATTCATATTCTCCCATTTGGACAGTTCCTAGTGAATCACGTGGGCACTTTGACACCCAGTTAGATTACACTCCCAATTTCCTACCCAGTACCCACATCCATACCCAGACAACACTATAGCCATGTATTGGGAGCATTTCCCTATGAACTACAGTAGTGCCATGTGTATACCCATTTTAGGAAGAGATCCGCTTCAGTAGGTGCAAGGCCCGTTTGATTAATTCGAACAGCCTTTATAGCCTTGCATTGGAAACATTTCCATATTATTTTTATATTTTATTTCATGGAAAGATATTCGCAATGCAAGGCTATGATGGTGGTTTGAACGGGCTTTGCACTGACTGAATCCCATTCCTTTTAGGAAACTCAGGTTTTGTCCTAGTGACTAGTCATTTTCTGTCTAAAGTCATGGCATAAATACATAATGGTGGTCTAAATTATTATATTACATTAGGAATTTCTCTCATTCTTGGCATGAAGCTTGGTCAAGAATATCGCTTTGTCTTGATTCTGGGTACTGGGTACTGATGGGTACTGATTGGACCTCACGTACAGTGCACCCTGCTCTGTCCCCACCCCATGAGCCCCCCTGTAATGTGTGTGTGTTTTGGTAAGAAACCGGATTCCGTCAGTGCAAAGCCTGTTCGAACAGCTATTATAGCCTTGCATTGGGAATATCTCCCCATGAAATAACACATAGAAGTATGGAGATGCTCTGTTCAAACGGGCCTTGCACTGACTGAAACTGATCTCGGTTGATAACATGCAATATGTGTTATAATACCAAAAAGAATAAAAAAAAAATGTAGGTATATGTGCCTCCAAATAAGATTACCCGGTACCATATATCCATCCATATGGGCCTCCAAATGGAGTCAAATTATAGGCTGTGTTTGGTTTGAAAGAGAAAGTAGGAAAAGGAAATTTTGAACCCAACAAAATCAAAATGTATTTGCTTGATGAATTATATTCGTGGGATGCAGTCAAGAGGAATGTAAGATAAAAGTTTGGGCTACACTTGTTTACAGTGTTCTCTCTTAATCCAATTCAGTTTCATAGCTTCGGCTTCACTGCTCAAAATACTATTCAGGCTTTCTTTGTTGTAAACCAAAAATCTGCATTGTCAATGGGAACAAAACCCATGGAGCTTCAAAATGTTCTGATGTCGTGTTTTTGTTAATACTTGTATCTCGTTCACCTTAGACGGTCCACTGCCTTCCAATGGCTGAAATTCTTCACTACTACATGACCTATAGACAGCCCAGCACTGCTTTGTAAACTATTTCATAACTTCAAGCCCCAAATATGCAACATTTAAAATTGCTTGTGGATCCTGTTTTCTGAAATTGGGATATGTAGCAGGAAAGTAATAAAGAAACAGAAAAGGGTCCATACAGGCTACCAAAATGATACCGCTTTTTTACGGATAAAATGCTACCAAATTTGGACAACAAAGTGTAGACCCCCATCATGATGTAACTGTTGCCACTTGCAAAAAAAGAGGAACACTCTAAACAGAATTCATATTTCGCACATTTCATGTATAAGATGAAAAGATGTCTACTAGCAGTCTGGCCAGCCAGACATTCATTTCACGGATTCAAAACCTACCTAAGCCAAAATATTTTAAAGAATTCCTTAGTGAATCCTCATTTACGCACTGCCTCTGAACTTCGATTCATACTCATGGGGTTGCTGCAAGAAAGACAATATTATTTAAGACATGACCAGAAATACAGATAAAACAAATAGATTATAGCAGTAGCAGTACGACAAATACAAAAAACTTGAGAGAATGGGTATTACTGAATATAAATGCTCAAACTCGACCTCAAGTTTTTTTTTTTTTTTCTTTTGAGTTTTTTTTAGATCATAAACTTTTGGTATTAGATTTAGCTATGCTTTTTACGAAACTAGGAAAGTATTCCCAATTCTGTCAAGCCTGAAAGGGAAGATTAGAATATTACAAATGCAGTGGCGTATTAATCACTGAGGTTCTTGGAACAGGTTCATATGGACTGGCCACATTGTTCTAGCTATTTTTAGATAAGAAACAATTTGAGCAACTGAAAAAGATGGATAAAAGAAGATAGACAAAGGAAACCAAAGGAGGAAATAGGAGGCAAGCATGATCCTTGGAAGATTACCATGAACACAGCTGATATCAAGCTACACGCAAACCATCACATATGCATTGAACGTTGTGTACTAGCTGCTGCTGCCACAGTTTCAAACCGCAAGTAATGTAACCAGCACTTCTACTTGCGGGAAGTGCAGCATCACTTCCTAACAAGAAATTTTAGCAGGCAGGAATTAAAACAATGTGCGATGGCATTAGTCCAATCCATCCCAAAGAGGAACAGTGAATATTGAAAAATACTTGCACATGAACATTAAAAATAGAAACCATATCGGGAATGCAAATGCATGACAATACTCACTTGTCCACATAGATGTGCTTGACAGGGCCGAATTTGGAACATTCTTCTTGAACTTCCTCTTTGATGTCCAAATCAAAATCAGGATCCGTCTGCATGGTGAATTTGAAGCTAAATACTTCCACAAGTAGAACCACCAAAACAAAACAAGTAGATCACAAACCTCAGTAGCTGGATCAAACATATTCTTCAATAGCAAGCACTTGCTAGGATTTCCAATGGGTTCAGTAAATGGGGATGTGACAACTAATGCTGGAAGAGCTGAAGCAAGAGTTGCTGCTTGCCCAATCATAGGCAGGCTGACAGCTTGTTGATTCGGAGCCAAGCCATTAAGTAATGGCACTCCAACTGACCCTGCAATACTGCAAGCAGGCAATATGAATAACTTCTAAATAAGGAATATGTCACTAAGCAGAAACGTAGAAACAAGCATACTGATCAAAAGAAGAAAGGAAAAGGAGGTAAACCTTGTGGCAGTGCCAGTACGATCCAATTTTTGCATAAACACTGCTCTAGATCTAGCATCTAAAGCAACATTTTCAGAAGATTATTCCTATTTAAAGACAAGTAGCCCTACAGCATAAAAATTCAGACCTAATCCTATATAAAGTGATTGATGACATGGTTAAAGACCAAAGAATCCATATTATTATATACTAGTTTAAGAGCATGTGCTATGCACGTATGCAAGTATTAGCCATATATGATATTTGGTATTTGGATTTAACTTTTTATGACCTGCGAGGAACCAAAGGCAAGTATCTACTTTATATAGTATATAGATTAGCATGGGATTGTCCAGTGTCTTGGCCTTTCTAGGTTCATAGTATTAACATCAGCTTAGTTACCCTTTCCAGGTTATTATTCAAGTAAAAACTAAAGTCAATTCAAGAAAACTATGAAACACTTAAGAATAGTGGGGAATTACAAAGCATTTATGATTTATCCACAAGTTAACAATGAGGCTTATGGATCAACATTCATGATTCCTACTGGTTTAAAATTGCATGAACACTTTATTGAGAATAGCAAATTGTAGCCTTCTATTGTGATTAATTGACATGGATACCAAAGCAATAAATGTGCATCAGAAATTATCCTGAAAACCATCCTAATTTAGGCAAGGTGAACCAAATTGACCTCTCAAGAGTCTACCATAAAACTAACATCTCCCATATTCAGAAAAACAAAATAACAGGAATGTTTTACTTACCAAACCACCTCCATCATCATCGTCATCATCGAAGTCAGTAGCATTTGTTCCAACATCCTGCACTGCAACATGATCTGTGACAGCTAAAACCTGTACATGTGGACATGTAAGTTCTTGTTGGCAACATCTACCTTCAGAATGAGCTAGATGACACAGTCATACAAATAGTATTAGTAGCATTCAACTTGGAGAAGAAAGACTAAAATTACTAAATACTAGCATGCTAAAGGAGGTGAAATCCTTGCTTCCAAACAACTAATTACCAACCTTGATTGTTCGACCAGCATTCTCCAAATTCCCATTCAAACTTTGAGCTGCCTTTGCATGTTCAAGCTGTGCAAACTGGAAAACAAATAAATAAATAAATACCATGTCTAGGGAATTGGGAGGGAAGGAAAACAAGTTTTTGGTTACCAAATCTTCAACTTCATATGCACACTTACTTGAACAAACCCAAAACCTTGCATTTTCCCATCTCAAGATCTAATGGTAGTTGCACAATCCCAACAGGAATGGTTCAAAAACCTGACACCATCCATCATGAAAATTTTGTACATGTAGGAGAAATAAGTACTGCAAAATGCAATCAAGGGATAAAATAGAAAGAAAAGGAATTCCAGCATGTGCAAGAATACTTGTATAAAGGATTAGGCATGAAAAACAAGAGCAATATACAGAGAATGCTCATTAGCAATGTACATGGCATACAGATCAGCTACAACATCGGTAATCCAGTTAGTACTTCCAGTATAATTTTCGGTTATTTTATTGATTTCTTGCCTAAGTTGTAAAACTTGGGGTAGCAAGGACCCTCTACTCCACAGGTTTGAGAAAGTAATCAATGAGGATTATTCTCTGTTATTGGGTAGATTTACATGCCTCATAGAATTATGGATGAAAGTTAATCAGGGAGGCTAAATTTTCAGCTATTGGATTAAACCATTCATGGGAAAAGGTGTGAGGACCGGAAAAGATTGACCTGGCTAACAAGATTAGCTAAAATTTTTGTCCAAAGAACAGAGCTAAGTTTTTTTTTTCCAAAGAAGGTAAGGTAAATTTATTGAATTAAGAATAATAGTACAATAGGATCCCCCCAAAAAAACAACTCTTGGGGAAGGATCAGACAGACCATACACCATTACAGATGCCAGAAGTTCCTAGAGATCAGCCTAGCCCCAAGATGAGAGACCTGAATTCCCTTTACAGCCAAGACCCAAGAGAGCAATTTTCCAAAAGAAAAGGCAAACAGCTCTTCTGGATCTTTGGAAATGCTGTGGAAAAGCCTTTTATTTCTTTCTGCCCAAATAGTACTGATTACGGCAGCCGCAGTAGATCGCCACAGACTTCTAGCAAGCTTTGACAAACCCTGAACCAGGCAAGACCCAGAGCTGAAAAGTAGTGGTTCCAGATCTTGGCCGAGATAGAACAGTGGAGAAACAGATGGTTACTATCCTCCAAGCCTTGGCCACATAACACACATAGCAGGTCTTGGAGCTGTAAACCTCTTTTTGATAAATGAACTTTGTTTTCACTCAGTTGCATTACTTCACGTAGTTAATGTAATGTAAAACATATTACATTCCTGATTCTACGAGCTGCCTTTGTGCCACACCCCTCAAGGCAAGCCTAAACAAGTCCACGTTAGCTCTTAAATTCTTAGTTTTCACACAAAAAATTATGTATACAAGTACAAATGGCAAGGGCGGGACAAGGCAAATTTGGGTATCTCCATTCCTTACAGGGATAATGGGTGGGTTTAGAATTTCTTGTCCCATCGAGGTTTGGGGTGGGGCATTTGAGTTCAGGGTTAGGGACGGGGCAGGCAAAACCCGGCCCCTGCCCTACCCTGTTGCCATTCCTACTTTTATGGTTGCAATTGGTATGTGGTTACAAGTATAATCCAAATTTGATTCATTCATAATTAGATCAAATATGAATACATCCCTATTCCATTCAATATAATCTAATTCGATTCAATTTAAATATATATGCTCACATATACTTAAAATTTATAATATATGTATTTTTGAAGTTGGTCTTAATGTTGTATTTAGAGATGGCAATTTGATCCGTCCCCATGGGGCGCTGCCCCGCCTCGGTCGGGGCAGGTTTTTTGGCCATTAGTTGGGGTTTGGGGAAAACCCGAAACTCTAGAGGTTGGGACAGGAAATACATATAAATTGTTACTATATGCTAATATATATTATATTATAATATATAAAATAGTTCTAGGTAGGTTTCAAAAAAATAAAAAAATAAATTTATAAGTATACAAGTAAGAATGATCAAGGCGGGATGGGGCAAAGTGGGGGATCCCCATTCCCCACGAGGATGGGGATGGGGTTATGATTTTTAGCCCCGCTAGGGTTCAGGGCGGGGACGATGTGGGGAATTTCATTTCGGGGTCAGGTACGAGACAGGCAAAACCTAGCCCCACCCCGCCCCGTTGCCATTCCTAGTTGTATTTTCACTAAATTATCATATATGCAAGTTGTATACAAGTAATTTTCAATTCATTTTGTTCATAAAATATAATATTAAAGTCATTTTTCGTTCACTTTATTAATAATATATAATAATTTGATCATTTTTAGTCTAATTTATTTATACTATTTAATATCTGACTATAATCCGAATTCAATTTGAATCTGCTAGATATCTGAAGGATATGATCTGATTCAAATTTGAACATAAACGAATCAAATTTGGATGTACCTATATCCAATCCAATTCAATCCATTTGCAGCCCAACTTCCTTTCTCTTTCTTTTCTTTCAAACCAAACACAGCCTAACTGTAAAATATTAAAAAACTATAAATATAAAGTCAAAACCCTCCACCTCACGTTATGGATAAAGTCAAATTTTAATGCTTTTACACTGCTAGTGTGCTACTTTGACAATAATTTTTAAATGAAAAAAAAAAAATCATTAAGACACAAGGGACTATGGGAGTTGCAATAGGCTGATCATTTTCAGCCCAGCCCAGAAAAATGGACCTGGGCTCAATAAAGATGTCACCAACTCCAGTTCCCCTAAAGATATTATCAAATGAAAGCTTGATTCTGGAAACTAATGGTGGATGCAATGGCATTGCAATGCAGGTTCTGAATGAGAAGAATGAAGACTTTTCTAGCAAATGCCTGCTAAGGTCATCAAGGGGAAATGCTTCTTCTGAATTCCTTGGCAACTAAACTGAATGAACTTCCTGTACTTTATCTTTGACGCTCATGTACTTACTACATATGGAACAAGTTAATTGTTTTATCCCATCTGGTCAGCTGAGCTAACCAATCAAAACTTCTTTCTTGAAAGTTGAAATCAACAAAAAAAGTAAAATATTTATAGCGTCTCTTTATGGGTTTAACGTTTTAACTAGCTAGGTTGACCATTCAGTTTCAATGATCTGGATTTTTTTTGTGTAAAAAGGAGCTTCCATTAACACAAATGTAAGCTACAACCAGGAAACAACAACAAGACAAACAAACAACAAAACCAAAGGAGAGGAAAAATAAAAAAGAGGAAACAAACACCTAACTACCAGAGAAACAGAAGCTAACATCAGACTTCAAAACTTCAGAAAGCCAGAGAGGGGCTGCATCAAACCTCTGGAAACTACCCTTCACACCACGAAAACAAAGAGTTTTATTGCAAAGAGCAATTTGCAAATAAGGAAGTTATGCAAGATTTCTTCCCCGTGGATTATGGGTGAAAACGAGATGTTTGATAGGAAGCAGTGATGGTGTAATTAAATCATATGATTTAACAGTATGAAGTTGTCATGATTAATCCATGACCTAATGACTTTTAACTCCAGTAACACTTAATACTGAAACCAGTATATCGCCAATAAAACCCATACAACACCAAGTCCCAAGTTCAAGTACATCAAATGGTTGAGACCGGAGAGCTCTTGCACAAATGACAAAATAGTACCATGTACAAAGGAAGCAGAAGTTTAGAGTGCGAAGAAATATTAGAATAGATACAATAGACAGCCATAACAAAACTTGTTTTAGATTAGGCAACAAAAATGTCTGTCACTCAGATAATTTACTGTACAACAAAGCCAAAATCTTCATCTCTTACATCAAAATCCATTGAAAAATAAAATGGGGATGACGGAAACTGTAATTCTACAACTTGTCTTTCATCTGTTTTATCTTCAAATGGAATGGCTTTTGTTCAAAACTCAATTTACTGGGTTTACCCAAAAATAATGTCAATGCCCATTCAATTAATCAATCAATTACCAGTAGTCCCCACATGAACACTTTCCATCACTAAAATGATGAAACCTGTTGGAGTCACGTAAAACTATTTAGCGCCCAACAATCTTGGATATGTATCTGAAGGCAGAGTGACAATCACCACAGACACGAAGGTTCTTCATGATCCTAATAGGCAATGCTGATGTCCGAATGAGAACAAAGGAAACTGCAAGTTTCTAACTGTGACAGATAAGCAGTTCTTCTTTGTTCTCTACTTCAAGATCATACAGGGCATATTTTGTCTGAGGCACATAACCAGCATTTCTCATTTTACTGTTCAATTCCTGCAACTTTGCATAAATCTCCTCTGAATCTGGGTGAGATTTATCTCCAGCTACAAAAACATGAACCCCATCCTTAATGGTCACCCAACTACAGCCAGCTTCTTTCTTCACTGCTGCCTCCCTCATTGCAGCCCGAGCCTCTGCAACATCTTCCCACTTACCACCAGAAGCATACATGTTAGAAAGGAGGACATAATTCACTGCATTTTGAGGTTCCAATGCCAAAAGATTCTCTGCAGCCCACCTCCCCAGATCTGTTTTACCACCATTTGTGCGACAGCAAGCCCCTAGTACAGTTCTCCAAATAAGAACATTGGGGCTCACTGGCATGCTTTCAATGAAGTCCTTTACCATACTGAGCTCTCCAGCTCTGCTAAGGAGATCCACCATGCAAGAGAAATGTTCCATCCTTGGAGTCAGACCATATTTCTTGCTCATGGACTCAAAATGCTCAAAACCTTTGTTAACTAACCCCACATGGCTACAAGCTGACAAGACACCAACAAAAGTAACATGATCTGGTGGTTTTCCTTCCTGCAGCATCCTATCAAACAGCTCTAGTGCCTCCACGCCATGCCCATGTCTTGCATAACCTGATATCATTGAATTCCAAGAAAACTCATTTTTCATAGGCATCACCCCGAAGACCCTTGAGGCATAGTCTATCCTTCCGCATTTAGAGTACATATCAACAAGTGCACTCTCAACTACAACATCAGATTCCAGGCAAGCCCTTATCCATCGAGCATGAATTTCCATGCCACGCTCTAATGCTGCAACAGAGGCACATGCACTGAGAACTGTTGCAAAAGTGAAACCATCCAGTCTCTGTCCCTTCTGTATCATAAACGAAACCAAATCCATGGCCTTTGTCAAGAGCCCATTACGTATATATCCAGAAATCATGGAGTTCCAGGAAACTTCATCTCTCCTATCTGACATTTTTGAAAATATTTTCTCACAATCATCCATTTCCCCACACTTCCCATAGCAAAAGAGAAGTGCATTCTCTATGGTGCTATCATCTGCAATACAATGCTTTAGCACTAAGGAATGAACTTGACGCCCCAGCTCGTGAATTGAAAGTGTTGTTATTGCTGCAAGAACATTTAGGAAAGTCACTCTGTTTGGACTCCAACCAGCTCGCATCATATCCAAGAAATGCTCTATGACATGGGGAACATAAGCTTCTGTATCAGCTAATGCCCCAATGATGGAATTCCATGAAACTTGATCATACTCTGTCATAAGAGAAAACACTTTCCGGCAATCAGTGAGATGGTTGGCTTCTGAATAGAAGGCAAGAAGCGAATTTGAGACTGAGACATCCAAATCAAGACCTGATTTGATTCCTTCAGAATGAATTTGTGCCCCCAGTATGATGTTCCCCAAGCTTGCACATGAACTCAAAGCGCTAATTAATGTAAAATTTGAAGGCACGAATCCACTTCTCTTCATTCCTTGAAAGTTCATCACTGCCTCTTTGAAACATCCATTTTGATCAAGACCAGAGATCATGGAGTTCCACGACACCAAATCTTTAACACTCATGAAATTGAAAACCTTGCAGGCATCATCAATGGCAGCACATTTGGCATACATGTTCACCAGCCCATTTTCAATGGCAACCTTTACATCATTGAGGCCTGTTCTGAGTACAAACGCATGGACTTCTCTACCCTTCCTTTTCCCTTCTTCTGGCACCTTAAACTCAGCACAAGCACTAAGAAGAACTACATAAGAATCACAGTTTATCCCCACCAAGTCTTTTGTCTCAATGAAAACCCGGGTTGCTGCTTCTCCTCTTTTCTGCCTCACCAAACCAACCATCAGTCCATTCATGGAAACCACATTTCTCTCACTCATTTTTTCAAAAATCTTTCTAGCTTCATCAAGTAAACCAACCCTCGAAAATCCACTAACCAAAGCGCTACCTACATACAAATCACTAGAGAATCCAGATTTTACAGCTCGGGCAAACATCTGCTCAAGTAAACACAAACTACAATCACTGGAAGTTGAATGAGCCGCAGTTATGAGGCTGCCAAAAGTATATTCATTAGGTTTAGAACTGAACCCAGAATCCTCCAACTGCATTTCTGCGAAGAGCTCAAAAGCAGAAAAGGCATATCCCCTTTGAGAATAGACAGAAATAATGGAATTCCAAGATATTGAATTTTTTATCTGTATTTCATCAAAAACTCTGCGAGCATATACTACTGATTCCAAGCAGCAACTGCCATACATTGAAACCATGGCATTTGAAACTACAACGCCCAGCATGTACGGGGTTTTAGAAATTAGAGCATGGACTTGCATTCCAAACCGAAGCTTACCAGGCCCAGAATCCTGACAAGCTCGGAGTACACTACCAAATGTATAGTGGGTTGGAAGATATCCGGCACAAATCATCGAGCGCAAAAGAGCACATGCTTCATCAGGCATGTGCTGATGGGTATAGCCAGATATCAAGCAAGTCCACGTAACCGCATTTTTCTCCGGCATTTCACCAAACAACCGGTGGGCCGATGCCACATTACTCGTTCGAACATATAGATTAATGAGCGTATTATATAGGAATAAATTACCGACAAACCCATTCTTGATGATTTGAGAATGGAGTCGTTCAGCATCTTCAGGATTAGAAGAACCTTCACACTGACGAACTAGGCACTCGTATTTCTCAGAATACGAAAACGAATCACAAAACGGTTCTTCACTTGGAGCTGGTGAAGAGGTCGAAATTCGAAAGCGTAATCGAGACTTTTTGTACCGGTCAATCAGCTTCTGCAGAGGGATCAGTGAAGACGGTGAGGTTTCAAAACTCTGATTATGGATTTTCAAATTTACAAGGTTTTCTGCTGGAACAGATGAAGTTGAAAGGCTAAGGTTGTGAGGATTCAGATTTGGTTTTAATCTGAAAGCGAGTGTAAGAAACCTGCAAATCATAGTAAGGTAAGCAGAGAGGATTTGTTCATGGTTGCCGCGCCTTTTTCAATTTGGGTTGGTCGGCCATTGATGAGCTAAGGCAGGCTCAGCCTTCTTGGCTAGTCGCGCTTGCTCGGTTCTCTCCCAAAATTTGCAGGCTCAAGCTGGTTTATACTAACCCGATTTTTAAAACCCGGTCCTAGTCCACTCCATCCTGAACCTGAAGGGAGGTAAGGTCCCGGCTGGTTGTAGGCTTGTAGCGGAGACTCGGAATGGATCGTGGAGCTCCGCCTTCACCCGGGTTGGGGTTATGGGCATGGGTGATGAGCTATCCCCGCTTTGTGCCCCATAAAAAAACACAGGAAGGTGCTAGTCTAACTCATCATTGATTCTCTAGGGATCAAGCTGTCATGGTCATGGACCAAATCAATTCACCCAACTAGCCAACTTTCATTTTCCTTTCTATTTTAGGTTTGGATTATGGGTGCAAGTTGGATGGGCTGGGGTCGGGTTTATGTCTTTATGGCCAATCCATGCCCAATCTTAAGATTTGGGCCTAAGGCCCGAGGTCAAGCCTAATCTTTTCAATTCAAACCTAATTCACACTGTAATTTGTACTTTGATGCAGTCAGGTTAGATTTGGCTCAGGTTGAGTTCAAATTGTTTAATGAACTCACTCTAAAATTTAACATATATATATGTATTTATGCATATATATATATATATATGTGTGTGTAAATATGAATATATATATATATAGTTGAATTGGACTCAAGTTGTGATAAGGTTGAATTGGATCCAAATTACCTAAGGACTAAACTTGGGGTTCAACCTAAAAGATAAAAACCTAAAATTTTAAACCCAAGGATCAAAAATTCAAGCCCAACCCATGTAAAATTTTGGGCTGGACCAGTCTGGGCTTGGATTGAACCCGCCCTAGCACCCCTACTTTGGGTACGGCAACGTCCAAAAAAAAAAAAAAAAGTGGTCACTCTCGCACTTAGAACCTACATTCTCACCCTTCTCAGATTGAGACTTTACCATTACACAAAAAATGAGTAATGTGATTCAATTAATTGAATTTGAGAATCAAAGCGCTGTAATGATAACAAAAGTTGTTTGATGGCCTCGAAGAAAATTAATCTTCATTGTGGGGAGAGAGGAAAATAAATAGATTAGATTTTTTGTATGGTGATTTGAATGTGAAGGTGAAGCCAAAGGCAACAGGTATTGGCATAATAAAGGTACTAGCGGAGGGACCCTACTTCGCAGGGGCTGGAATGAAACAGTTGATCCATTCATCTGTTGACTTGGTCTTTGGCCAAAAACTGTTGAATCGGTCAACGATCTATTGATTTGAGTGGTTGAACCGTCAACCCATTAGTCAGTTCAATGGTTTTTGGATTTTTTTTATTTTTTCAATGAGAACCATTCAAGCAACCAAATCTGTTTTATCCTAATCTCGGTCTTTAGTAAAAAATCGTTGAACCGGTCAATAATCCATTGACTCAGGCGATTGAACCGTTGACCCATTCAATGGTTTTTAGTCTTTTTTTTATTTTTGTTGTCAGAACATGCCATCCGTTCGAACCGAACAGTCAAACTATTGACCCGAAAATCAATGGCCAGAACAGCTCCGTCTTCAAGTCGTATGAGTCACACTCTCGAATGACATAACACGTATGGTACTGCTTAATGGACCTCAAACACTCAAATTTTGCCTATAATTTTTTTGTTAGAACAAGTCATCCGTTTTTTTTTTTTTTAATTGGGTACCGTCCAGGCAACCAATTCTGTTTTACCCCAATCCCAGTCCCTGGCCAAAACCCGTTGAATCAATCAACGACCCACTGACCAGAGTGGTCAAACCGTTAACCCGTTGACCCATTCAATGGTTTTTAGCCTTTTTTTTATTTTTGTTGTTAGAATGGCCCATCAATTCGAACCAGACAGTCGAACCGTCACCCCGAAAACCAATGGCCAGAACGGTTCCATTTTCGGGTCGTATGAGTCACACACTCAAATAACATAACATGTATGGTACTGCTTAATGGACCTCACACACTCAATTTTTTGCATGTAATATTTGTTATCAGAATGGGTCATTCATTCGAATCGAACGATCGACCGTCGACCCGAAAACCAGTGGCCACAATGGTTCTGTAATTTTTTGCTTGTAATTTTTTGTTGTCAGAACGGGCCGTCCATTCGAACCGTCGATCCAAAACCAGTGGTCGGAATGGTTCCGTTTTCAGGTCATATGAGTCACACGCTCGAATGACATAACACGTATGATACTATTTAATGGACCTCACAAACTCAATTTTTTGCCTATGATTTTTGTTGTTAGAACGAACCGTCCATTCAAACCGGATGATCTAATCATCGACCCAAAAACCGATGGTCATAATGGTTCCATAATCTTTTGCTTGTAATTTTTGTTGTTAGAACGGGACATCTGTTCGAACTAGATGGTTGAACTATTAATTGTCAGAATGTTATTAACAACATTTATCAAAAATAGTAAGTAATTATACTATTTAATAAATAATTATTAGTGATAGTTTTAATAATATAGTTTAGTTATTTTTAATATAAAAGTAAATATTAAATTTATGAATAGGATTTATTAATAATATTCATTAAATTAATAATTACCAAAATTAAATTAATTAACAGTATTTATCAGTAATAGTAATTATAATATTTTATTAAATAATCAATAACAATACTTTTAATAACATTTTTAATTATTTTTAATATAACAATAATTACTAAATTTATTAATAGTATTTATTATAACAATATTTATAATTTTAATTTAAAGTAAAATTAAAGTAAATATCTATTTATTAACAATACTTATAATAATAGTAATTATTAATTATAATCACTAATTGTATATTTATTAAATTACTGTAATAATCAGTAATTTATAACAGTATTTATAATTTAAAGTAAATATATAGTTATTAACAATATTTATAATAACAGTAATTATTAATTATAATCATTAATTGTATATTTACTAAATTACTCTAATAATCAGTAATTACTGTTATAATAGTAACAGTAATTACTGTTATTATAATTAATAGGATAGGGGTGCTCTCATGTGGGAATCTATTCGTACGAGTAGATTCCATTTGTTGCACGGAGAGAGCATCCCAATCGTGTGTGTGTGTTTGTGTGTGTGTATATATATATATATATATAAAAGATCATTTGGAATTATATAATAAAGGTTCATGGTCCAGGCTTGGGCTTGTCTTTTGTCAAAATCGGAATGAGCCTGGCCCAAAGCCCAAATTCAACATAGTATTAGGCCTGAAACCCAGCCCGTAAAAAGGTATAATTATATAACTCCTAAAAGAGTAAACATGGTTCAGCATTATTGGTGTTTCTTGTGCCTCCCAATGATTTCCCAACTATGGTACCACTGAGAAAGTAAAAGCAAGGTTCAAAATATCCATACGCCCGATACACCAATATCGATACTTTTTTCATAAAACCGATTCAGGGGACTGGTTTAAGGCTCCTCCACCCCCTGAATCGGTCAGAACCCCGATACACCCTCTCTAGAGGCGTATCGGGGAGCTCCCAGAATGATACGTATCGGCCAATACGTGTCGATACTTTGAACCTTAAGTAAAAGGTAAAATAATAACAGGGTGATATGCAGATGGATTTAGCATACTCTTTGGGTTTGAGGGGATTTACAAACTTCAGGAGAAAGCAGTCTTTTTACAGTAACTGTTCATGACCATTACATGAAGACAAGCTACTAAAGATGCCAATAGATTATAGAGATAACTTCAAGATTACCCATGGAGAAAACCTTCATCATAAAATATGATAAATGTGCTAGTGATTGAAAGGGGCTAAATTCAAAAATGTGAATTTTAGTCACTATTTTAAAAAATGGACTAGACCGGATAGTCGAACAATTTGGCCTAGGAACCGATCAGGTCATCAGTTCCGTTTTTTGCCCTAAATTGCTATTTTACACCAAAAAAAAAAAACGTTCAAATGGTCAGAGAACCACTGACCCAAACAATTTAATCGTTAAAATGTTTGACCCAATTAACGGTTCTTAGGTTGCTTTTACACTAATTCCAATTTTTTTATTTATTTCAAAATAAAAATTGGAAAAAAAAGAAACTCCCATATATCATAATCTTATTCGGTTATTCCCATTGGCCAAAATTAGTTAGGATTTTTAGTTTTCCATTTTGATTTTGAGTTTAATCATTTTTGTGATTCTTTTAAATTGTAACAGTTAAAAAAAATTGCAACTCCAATGAAAAAATCGAAAAATCAATGCAAAATATGAGAGATTAAACACCAATCTTATATTGAAATATGAGATACATCAATAAAGCAAGCAATCTGGGATTTGAAAGAGATTTAGAGAGATGAAAGATATGTAAAAAGAGGGCAAACAATATTGTAGCGACGATGATTATGATGAACATGGAGATAGTTGTCGTCAATTGTCCCTTTCTTATTCTTTCTCACTACCCATATTTAACCAACCGCCCCCTTCTCAAAGTCCCACGCTCCTCTCTCATATATATATATATATATATATATATATATATATATATATATATATATATGTGGTTAAGATAAAAAGTTACACTATATTTTATATCTTACCGATTTGACCCGCTCAAAATGGATGGTTCAACCACTGACTTAAAAACTAGAAGCCAAAGCGATTCCATTTCTAGGTCGGTTTTTAAAACCTTGATTTTAGTCAAAAAAAAAGTTCTACAATCTTACTCATATTTTTAATAATAGTGTGAATATGAAACAATAGATATATTCAAATTTTTCTATATTTTTTTCTATTTTTGTGTGTAAAAAAATAATTCTAATGTCACACTTACTATTTGTTTAATATTATAAATACATGATATTATACGTGCCCGAATGTTTTTTTTAATTTATGTATTTTTATATTTTATTAATTTCTATTATTTATTTATGACATTAAAGGTTAACACATTTAAATTACAAGTTGAACCATTTATTATTAATTTTTATATTTCAATTTTGGTCAGTTATAAATTATGTATTTCATTATCACCCAACTATGACGTTATAGGTTGATCAATTTGATTTGAATGGTTAAATTGCTTAGCCACCACTTAGATAAAGAATGATTTTGATTTTTTAGTCAATTTTAAAATATATGGGTTTATATTGTTAAAAAATATTGACATAATTCTAATTAATAACATTTATTAGTGAAAAATAACTTAAAATATAGGATTTAATAAGAGGAAACGAGATTTAATACCTTATGTGTAAGATTTAACGAGATTTAGCATTCTTTCTCAAGCAAAAAAATAGAGGGTAATTTTAATCCAAAAAAAGTTACACACTTCATCCACACTTTTATATAAAATATAGATAAATAAGCATTAAATAAAAAATGTAAAATGACATTTTGCTATAGTTTGTTTTCCAATTACTGAATAAAAGAAGTGCTTTTGTGTCTTTTTAATCAAATAAGCATTACTAAATGAATATGTAAAATAGCAATCTTGCCTTTGCTTGTTTTCCAATTTAAACTTGAGAGATGGTGCATTTATTGTCCAGTGAAATTTCCATAAGCCAGGGATACTCATTCGCACTTTAATACATAGTATAGATATATATAGATATCTGTGCATAGTATTCTCTCTCACTCTCACTATAGTATTTTTGCCCTTGATTATAAACTCCAGTTCTCAGTAGAGATGCCTAATCCTACTCCCAGCTCTTACATCTTAGGAGTTTATGCACACCATCTAATTCTATGCAACATTTCTTAAGAATGAAGGTATTAAGGTGGAAGATGAAAGATTTTAGAGTTTATTCTGATCGTTACCAACCCAGAGAAAAAAACAGTTCAACCTCAGATCGATTTTTAAAACATTGCTTCGGAACAACAAAAAAAATAAATTTTGATTTGATACAATCTGTTTGAAGCCGAATTTGGCTAGGCTAAGCAGTTAGTGCTGCAATGACCAATATGGAACCGCGGCTCATCCCACAAATGATTACAAGCAATACGAGAGAATACTACTATCCAGAATTCAGTGGTAACTGGTAAGCTTTCCTTCTTCTCCAGCAGGGAGGTTTTGGGATTAAACAGAACATTTCTACACGAGCAATGAAAACATCGACTCCAACATTTAACTATCCTCTACACTACAAACATATGATAAATGATACAACATCCAACAAGATATAGAAATGCACAAAAAAAAAAAAAAATGAACCCACCAAGGAAATTCCCATCAATTACAGAAGTGAATGACTTTGTAATATTCTAACCCTGTAAACCTGCCACAAAGAAACTACATAAGCATCGGTATCATCACTCATCAGATAAGAGGACAAGCTTCAAAGCAGATATTATCATACTCGCAACTGAAGCAATGAGACAGAAACTAGAGACTAGAGTTACCTGAAATGCTAATGCCATATATTATATTATTCTGTTAAGAGGGATCCGATCGGCCTGACGAGAAATCCTTTCTAGGGGAGATATCACTTGTGGCATTGTCATACCTCCAGAAACTATGATCTCTGAATTATTGAGAAAGGCATCCGAATTAAATTATATACCCTTATAACCATATAATATAGTCTCCTACTGGAACCAAATGAAAAAATTTACAGACCTAGAATTAGAAAAATTTAAATTACAGATTATGAAACAGGGAAGTGTTCAAAAAAGGATGTCAAATGGATAAGACGGCCCTCTTGGTGGATCAGACAGCCTTCCACCAAAAATCCTAATTACATGGTAGCCAGCAAAGCTATCAACCAAATTTGTTTGCACTTTTTCTTCAGATTTTTTTTTAACCAGTATTTTGGTTATGTACCTTTTTTTTTCCTTTTCAAATTTTTATGCTTCTTCTGTCAAAAGAGTTTAGTTTAGGGCTGCAAACAGATCAAATCAAATCAGATATAGCCATATAGGAAGATCCAAATTTGATTCATTTATATTTGAATTCAAATCAGATCTTATCCATCGGATATAATATTGGATTTAAATTGAATTCAGATTGCAATTAGATATTGAATAGTAAGGGAAATTTATGGTTTGCCCCACCTCGTAAATTTTTATTAGTTTTTTTGTTCTATTTACCAAAACCCCCCACCTATGATACAGTACCACCCCCACCCCCTTGTATTTTGATAGATTCCCCCACCTGTCACTGCTCCGAACTGTATAAACCAATAAAAATTTATGAGGCGGGGGAATCAAAAAAAAACCATAAAATTAAATAAACTAAACTAAAAATAATCAAAATATTATATAATTATTTTATTAATGGGTTTTTTCATAAGATATTTGAGTTTATAGTAATCAACCCAATTTTAGTTTCAGTCATTAAGGAATATGCCAAGTGGCTAAATTGATAAGGTCTTTTCCGTCTACCCCCTAGCCTTTCCAGCCCCTTCAACTTGCGACAAATAACTACTTACAGGTGCAGTTGTTGGTCTTCCATGCACGTGACCAAACCACTTAAGTTGATTTTCTATCATTTTGTCAACTATTGGAGCTACTCCTAGGTTCCTTCAAAGACTTCATTACCGATCCTATCTTCCTAGTTTTTCCACTCATCCATCTCAGCATGCGCATTTTTTGGACATGTTTCTTGATTGCCTTGCCCAACACTCTGCCTCCATACAGCATAGTTGGCCTTACAACTGTTTTATAGAATTTTCCTTTTAATTTAAGTGGAATTTGCCTAGCACATAAAACTCCAAATGCACCCCTTCATTTTTCCCATCTTGCTCCAATGCTAGATGACATCCTCCTCTATCTCTCCCTTGTATGAATTATTGAACCAAGAGTACCAGAAAAGGTCACATTGAGTTACCCCCCAAGGAGATTTCAATCTTCTAAATAACTTATTCACTAAACAACAAAGCAATAAGTCATTCGGTTCAGCCCCTCTAGCTGTTACCAAACAGCTCTCTATACTCCTTCCCAGTGAGGAACAGAGAAATCAGTAAAGCAGGGGCTGAGTCAACAAAACAACCTAATCCAGTATAGATGTTAAGTCAGATGGGAGTGGGTCAGAGTTACAAATTGTTATCTAATATTATCACTTTTCAGAATGGTTTGAGATTGGCATCAAACTGATCCAGTATAGATACATGTGCGCATGTATACAGGATATGAGAGCAATATATAGGTGTTGCAAGTGGTTCCATGTCTATACATTTTTATTTGGCACTGATGGAATTGGCCAAGAATCAATGTCAGTCCCACCGAACATGTGTATATATGACATGGTCTTGGAAAGGAAACTATTATTCACAACGAATAGAACCTGGGTCTCATTTATTCAGGTTGTGTAGTGTTCAGATCATCTCCAGGTTAATACTATCCAGTTCAACCCAGCTGTTGATAGCCCTTTTTGATGAATTTTAGAAAAGAAGCAATTATACAGCATTTGATGGAAGCTATAGGTACAAACCTATCCTCTCTTTCCTTAAAAAAATGAAACATGAATACAAAGTACACAGTACAAGCTGGAAATGAAAACCGCCATTACCAAAATAACCATGGCAACAAGATAACACTTGTAGCCAATTAAGAAAAAAAAAAAAGCATACCTATTCCTTCTCGAATGGATAGATTTGGTCTGATGATCTCCTCAGAGTTGACCAAGAAAATGTCGCCAATGTATAGATGATTTGTTGGGACATAAACACTACATAGCTCTTCATCACCATTATCTCTCTGCAAGCAGAAACAATCAAAATGAGCAAAAGAGATAACACATTGAGAAATCCTCATACTTTTTCCACTCTGTTTACTTCAAAGCAATCTTGGGATGACAGATCAACAGAGAAATGTCAACATTCAACAACCATGCCAATTCCGTGTCAGTAATTAAGAAAGGGATAAAGTCCAGATTTCCAGTTTCATACCATTTGAGAAGTGTACAAATGGGTGTACAATTAGTCCACAATGTGCTTTGTGAAATATGGAATTAATTTGTGAATTAGAGATCTCATTATACAACAAGAAGAAATTATACTCGTGATCCATCTTTTTACTAATTTAGTACCTTCATCAGTACTAATATTCTCCATGGATGGTAACACATGGCTTTAGCATGGCACTTTGCTGCAGTTACTACCTTTCACTATCTGCTGGAACATTTTGAGAGGAAATGAATTGCCAATTTCTCTATGTTCCACATTTAGTGCAGGGAGAATATACTTTGTTTCTTATTGCAAGTATTCCCTCGAAAACCCAAATATGTTCCTTTTACAGGTAAATATACTAACAGAAATAAAGAATGATCATCACCCCATGTAAATTGCATGTGCACAACACTTTTAGCTTAGAGATAGGTAACTTCTATAGGCATAAAAAATTATTAACTTGTTCAATAAACCAATAGGCAACATTGACACATACTTTCAATGATCATTTACAATAGAAGATAGTTCAGCCAACACATGAAACCAGACATAACTTCATTTCTACCTTGAATTGTTTCGAATGGATGTCTGATTTCATCTATTATAATGTCAACTACATTATTGCAAAAGGATGAAACATGGATTACTTCAATACCAAAACAAGGTTATCCCCTCAACAGTTGGCATGAACAAAAAAGTCATTAGACCAATAAAAAGGCAAACAAGAAGTGGCAGGCATGATATACTATAAATAATATGGGACAATCAAAAAAATTGAGTATCATATGAAATTCAAGAAGCATCTTTAAATAAACAAGTACAGAATATTTTAACACATAAATTTTTATGATATATCTAGCAACTACCTGAAGGACAACGGACGATGTGATAAAACCAAATGCATATTCACCAACACGTGGGTGACGAATGATTGCAACCTCTTTAAAAGCAGTTGTGTTTTGGTCTGAGAAAAATAGGCATTATACCACGTCAGCTTAAACCACAGGTTAGTCCAAGTCAATTATATCAATTACTTATTCCACACAATATCCATTATCCACACAAGTAAAGAGGAAAATGTGACAACAAGGAACAATTACATCAGTTTCTATGAACTAAGAAAGCATTCCCTTTTGAGCAAGGCAACAGAACTTAATTCATGATATGGTGCATCCTCTGATTTTATTATGGTAGAAAAAAAAGGGAAAAACAACCAAGCAAACAAAAGAAGTAGATGCCTTTCAGAAGCAACAGTGTAGATAAATCTAAAGATGTAAAATTTAATAATAGCATGTTGAGATATTTAATAAAGAGATTGAACAAAACCAGCAATAATTCAAGTTAGTAAGATAAAGATGTGTTGAGATCATTTATGAATTAGGGTTCTGAGAACTGATAATTTTCCACATTGAGGGGTTGAGCACAATATTTAGTTTTCCGTCACAAAGATTACACATGCTCAAATGTCCTCAAATTACTAATTGTAAGATTTTATTACTGCTTTTCTTTATTTCATAACCTACGGGAACTTGCTGAAGGAAGAATACACAGGATGAGAGAGAAAGAGCCCCTCTAATACATGCTTTTTCATTTGCATTCTCAACTTAAGACTAGCTTATGCCATCCACAAATCAATAAAAAAAAAAAGAGATCCATTCATGGGAATGGAAGATAAAAAATGCTAATCTGTTATGGACGCCTTCCTCGGGAAGACGTACCATCGCCGCCGGCAGCAACAGGCCCCGGGCCCACCGCCAGCAGCAGCAAGGATTCAGTGATGCTCATCCTACCCAGTTCAGCAACAGCAGCCTTATCTAGATTAGATTAGCTCATTTTGCTTGTTCTTATCTCTTATCTTATCTTGTTAATAACTTATCAGATTAGGATTAGCTTAGCTTAGCTTATCTTGTTAGTAGCTTATCAGATTAGGATTAGCTTATCTTATCCTTAACAAGATAGAACTGGAAGTCTCCCTATTCAGCAAGGAGACTCCCTTTGATTAGGACTCTTGTA